TCAAGTCATTTGTCTCATACGTGCCCAAACACTGTCTCTGACAGTGATAATAAACACTTTACAAACATCAAGTAAAGCATGGGATCAGAATGTGACAACATAGTGAAAGCTTGTGAAGCAGAGCTACTTCGTGTATGTAGAAAATCTCTGGTGAAACTGCAGCTGGTTTGAGTAAATGCAGTGACAGTAGTTCAGAGTGTTAGTTTCCACCTTATCATTGTGTGTGTTGAATATTGCAGTATATACCTTCTTATTGAATATCAGCACGTGTCTAGCATATGTGCTGTATACCACATAACGCAGTTAAGGTGATATAACAGTCCAGATGCTTGCGTGTATGAGTGAGAAAGGAAGGATTACATGTGGAACTGGTTCACATGCTCACTGGTGGATTACAGAAACATGAATATCTATGTGAATCCTCCTCATAGATATTCAGGAAAGGGCACGTGGAGCATGTGCATACGTAGGGTGAAAAACCAGATTGGTCTGGTATTGACTGAATCTAGCTGCAGTGGCCAGTCTGCCTCACTTATGCACTCGTTCAGCCCACTTAGTCAAGCAGTGCATTTCTTGACTGATCTGATGTGATTTGTTAGTCAAGTGAAGGTGGAGTGGGTGAGTTCGTACACTAGACTGTAGAGGAGAGCTCTACAATAGTAAAATAGCACATGCTCATACGTGTATCTGAGCCGCTCTCCGTCTTTGCCCAGCTGTTTGTCTTATATCTGTGGTTAAGGATGCACCGATCATGAATATTTATGACCGATTCCAATTTCTTTATAGTCAAATTGAATGACTTTCATTAGTCTTTTAAAGCCTGAAGCCCATGTCATGTGAACTGAACATATGACTAGATTTCAAGTACTTTAAATTAGAGAAAATTTCAAAACAAATAACATTATTAGTCATCATGAATGAGCCAAACTAACATTGTACATTTTTAATGAAAAATTAGTTGCCTATTTAATTACATGTATCAAATAAAATCTACATCAAAACTAAGAGATAATTGGCTATTTAGTGTAATGAGTTATGTATAATTATGGAAAAGCATCTTTTTTGTAGCATATAACATATATAGCAGCAGCGTTCAAGTACAATGTGGGTGCACTTACCTGTGTATGCAAATGTTTGGGCACTCGTGGTCAAACTCTAGGTTTACTGATTTTTGTGAATTTAAGTTAAACATCCTTTACTAAGAACACAATTCTGCACATTTTAACATACGATTATTGTTTTTTTTTACATTGCAGGAAAAAATAACATAAAATGTGGCTTTTACAAAGGTTAGGGCACATCTAATCTGTTATGTTTTATTTTTTCCAATATGTTAAATTCAGCAAATAAATAGAAACTTGCTCTAAAATAAGCAGAAAAAAATGCCATATTTAAGTGTGTTCTCTATAGTGCCCGGAATTTGACCAGGGGTGTTTAACTTGTTTAACTTTAACTTGTTGCACACTTGAGTGTACATCACAGATCGGCCAAAATAAAATAATAACCTTGCTGATTGCTGATCGTGTGTTTGGAGCAAAAACCTGTAGATTGCGATACTGGCTGATTCCAAACGTATATCCTTCTCTATAATATATGGTGAGTGGCAAGAGTACAGGTGAGTAGGGACGCTTGTGAACACTGTATGTGCGTTATGTCAGTCACACAATAGTAGTGCCAGTAGTGCTACATTTAAAAATACTATCAAAGTCTGTGAATACCATAATTTTTGTTTAATATTTGGCTATTTTACTATGTTGCGCTAAATCCAGTTGAATGGGACCAGTTTTGCTCTACTTATAATAAAACATGCAGTTTGTCTGTGTTCTGCGAGAACCGGTGACATTCAGGATTAATAATGAATAAAAGGCAGTTATTTCAGCTTGTTAGCCCAGCGTTGCCTAAATATTAAGCTCATCTGGGGTCCAATACATACATCATTAATTATCAGTTTGAAACCTCAGTCAGTCCTTTTTTTAGGAAATATCTGCCGATTCTGATTATATATGATTCTGATATGATTATGCATCCCTAATGAAAATAAAATTGCGTTGTTTTGTAGTCAATATTCCAGTGGTTGTATTATTAAAATACCTTCTAGATTTTAGGATGCATGGAATCAGAATTATCAAATCAAATCAAATCAAATCAAATCAAATCATGGTGAATTCAAAGACTGACACCTCTGTTTATACACCCAGTTTACTCTGACTGTCAGGACATGCTGTTTTGTACAATAACTGCAGTCCTCTGTTATACCACCAGATGGCAGGAGAACAACATGAAGCTGCACAGCTGCCTTGATGCAGGCACTTTTTTTTTTTCTGATTGCTGGTCTGTACATGCATGAGGAGTTCTTGTAGGGCAGTGTTTCTTATTCCTGCTCCTGGGGTCCCACTGACAACCCCTCATGTCTAGATCATTACCTGATTTTATAAGCCCTTTTTGAGTTAGAGATAGATACATGCCAGATATTTCCCTGGCCCAATATTTGAATCTGTGTAGTACAGTGCTTATGTGTTTTGTTGATTGTAGTGCAGTGGGACCCAAGGAGCAGGATTAAGAAGTGCTGTTGTAGGGTTCTCAACACCCCAATGAATATTCACAGAATTAACAAAAGCTTCTGCTTTTCACTGCGAATGATAGACTGCAGTCAAAGGAGAAATAAAAACTCGGCACAGTCAGCACATTGTGTCATGGCAGTTTGCCATGAAACGCTAATCTATCACAATGTGAATCTTACCTCATGCATTCTCCATTAAAAATAACATTTACATAAAGCACTTCTTTCTGCCAATGTGCATTCTGATAAAACAAGTTGATACGAAGCCCTTTTTTAAGTGAAACTCCATGCATGAATTTGCATTTTCATGGTTCAGTAATTTTTGTTATTCTTTGGCCGTTGAAAAAGTGAAGTGAGACTGTGACTCAAATCAGAACGTCCTCCGCCCCGGTGTAGACAACTAAGTAAAGCGAAAGGAAATTGGCTTGTTGTTCAACATTGTTGTTGTATTTGCTGCGTGTACTTTGACTTCGAACAGTGGAAATGCAGTAGGTGTCGACCATTGATGCGCAGGTGTTTACAGTATGAATCAGCTGGTGGTTTTATGATGTCAGTCGGCTGGATGTCTGGCTTCCTGTTCTGCTGTAGATGGCTTGATAACTCGTCCTTTGAACTTCTTCTGAACTGCCAAATGGAAAGGAAATGCATGCAAATTTGTGCCACCATTTGCAAAAGCAAAGCTTCGTCAATCTGAGTCTTGGTATGAGGAAAATAAAACCTGACCAATATTTTGCTTTGTCACAGTAAATGTATCTTGTTCTTAGAGTCATCTGCAAAATTCTGGTCAAATCCTGTAGTTTGTTGAGTTTCATCCTGAAAATAAGTCAACAAAATGACTTCCTGCACTGCCACTTTTATGTTCATTTCACTTTTCTTTTGTATGCGTTTCGGTTTAGTTTGGCTGTGGCTTAGGTTTTCACTTTTACCGTGGGTGTCCCATTAGAGATGGTGTTTCACTCAGTTTCTCACAGCTTTTAGCTGAGATGGCTTCTTGGGTCCTGGACCCTGACCCTGACTATGTTTCAGTATGCATAAGTACAGAGAGAGGTGGACAAGCTGGGCTGCCTGATGACACAATGTGGTTTGTTAAATAGGTGATCAAATTTATATGAACTTTAGTAGCATGCCTCCACTGGTTCATGCACATTACTTTTGATTTTGTCATTAAATTACCCCCTTGTAAACACCATCAACAGCACATGTACAAAAGTTTGAACACCCCTGCTCAGATTATGTGTTTTGTTGATTTTCTAAGTGATTTTCTAAGTGATTTTCTAAGTTCCTCGATAAGAAACACACCTACATGCTATTTTTCTGCTAATTTTATTGCACAGTTTTTATATGTCTGCTGAGTTTAACATATTGGAGAAAATAAAACATAAAATGTGAACTTTTTTATAGGCCATGTTTTATTTTCCCCCCAATATGTTAAATTCAGTAAATAAACAGTAATCGTGTACTAAAATGTGTAGGATCTTGTGTGCTCTGTAGTGGATGTGTGGTTATCCTTACTTAAAAAAAAATCAACAAATGATGTAATTTGACCAGGGGTGATCAAAATTTGGCATATGTATATATGATATAACAGTAAGTATGCATTTCAACCTGCCTCTCCGCTTGGAATATATTCAGTATTTTATAGCAGGGCACCCAAACATTTTTGCAATGTTTGTGGTGGGCTGAGGTCCAAAAAGGCAAAATGATGAAACAAATAAGAAATCAGTTTTTAAAGATGTATTTTATATCAGTACACTATATATTACTGAAATACTTCAAAGATACAAATTTCAAAAGAAAACAAGAGTTTAATAACTTAAGTATGGTGTAAACAGTAAACATTTATTTATTCTCTCATTGGGTGGGGGGGTCTTGGGGTTTCTTGTGGGCCAAATCCAACATCCTCAGGGGCAAACAACCCCACCCCCACTTCAGCCACATAAATATGAATGCACTCTGTAGGACACTGCTGATGGCACCAGATTCATACTGTTAAACCAAATTTCTGTTCATTTTACAGGACCCATTAGCTGTACTACTTGTTGGGAAGGGGGTTTGCTTATTTATCTACCCTGAACTACTACATATATATGTTCTTGGATGTACTGATTTCAGTTTGGGAATGGGATGCACTCTCGTCTTATATGTATAGGAAGAAAAAAAAATGTAGACCACAGTTGTTAGTTCACAGTAAATGACCCAAAATGCTACCAGTAATTCTCCTTATGCCAATACCCACTCCAGCACTGGTGTAAATAGTGCTCCCAGTCACGTGTGTATTCAGTGTGTTTTTACAAGTAGTTCTGAATTGAACAAAAATAATCAAATCAAACTGGGGTCTGCTGATGAGCTGAATTGAATCATTGTGAGGTCAGAGATGAACATTCCTAGCAATTATAATGTGTGGTTTAACATTTTGTTGTCTTCTCTTTGGATCTTCCAGAGTGCAGTGTTTAGCCTGGAGGATGTGGAGGACCCTGGAGTGATCATCGCTGAAGACAGTAACGATATCTACATTCTGTCAGGGGAGCGGGCCCCAGATCCACTGAGCCCCCCTGAGTCACTCCTGACGGTGGCAGACAGCAGTGGGCCAGGCTCCTGGCAGACGGAGAGCCTGCCTGTGTCTCTGACCGGTCACGAGTCCTGGGCTCAGGTGGGTGTCATGGACCCCGAGGATGCCAAAAGCCTAGATAGCGCCGAGGGCGTGGCCTCGGCTGAGGAGCGCAGTGAGAACAACTCCTCCAACTCGGACATCGTGCATGTGGAACGCGAGGAGGCAGAGCTTCTGGAGGAGGGCAGGGAGCCCACGGAGGAGGGAGAGCTGCAGGAGAGCATGCTGAGCGTGCTGGGCAGCGAGAGTGAGCTGGCAGCTCTGAGAGCGGAGCTTAGGGAAGACGCTCCGCCTCCAGCTACTGTGCACGAGCTGATGGAGCCTCCAGAAGAATCGATTGTCATCATGGAGCCGCCTGCTAGCCTAGGTGCTTCAGCTCCCGTAGTTGCTCTAGAGCCAGAATCTCCAGCCCCTCTAGCTTCTCCTGCCGCTGCTGCCCCCCCAGTGCCTGATCCTGAACCTGAGCCCCATCCAGCTCAGCCAGAACCTGTTCTAGCTCCAGTGGAGCCACAGCTTCCAAGCCCATTTAAAGAGCCTCCCCCTGCCACTGCTGCTGAGCCAGAAGCTGAACCTGAGCCACAGCCTGAACCTGTCCAAGCACCTCCAGAGCAGGAGCCACCAGCATTGGAGCCACAGGTGGTGCAAGAGGTGCAGGCGGTGCAGGCGGCCCCTGCTCCAGCCCAGGAGCCGCCTGTCTTACCCCCGGCTGCGGCCCCGGTGCAGACAGAGCCAGGCCCCTCTGAGCTCCCCGTGCTGCTGTACGGTGGTGCCGCCCTGGTGGCCATCGCTGCGTTAGTTGCTTATGGTGCACTGGCTTACAGGAAGAAGTAGCAAGAACCTGCTCATGACCTCACCTTCCCACGACCCCACTATCAGGAAACCCGGGCCACTGTGCTGCCGAAAGCTGCTGACCACTGTGAAAAAGATATGCCTCTACTCTGCCTCATGCCATTTTGTTTGCCATTTTCATCTCATCCTTTTTTGTAACCTTTTATGCATCCTGCTACTCTGTTTCGTAGTACCACTGTAACACTCTGCCTCTTCCAATTTTATGTTCATTTCACTCGCTTAGTTTGACTGTGGCCTAGGTTTTCAATTCTGCAAGGCTAACAACTGGGGAATGTATTTGAGTCATTTTTGATGTTTTCACTTTCTGTTTTAAGACGCAGGCAAGGGGAGTGAGATTCATTTTGTGTTTTCAAAGCAAGTTATGATTTGCCAAGTGAGAATGGTGCACAGCACAGATTGGTTCTACGATTTTGACTGATTAATGAAGCTGAAATATTTAGGCTTAGTTTTAAGCAACCTGTGCCTGTTTGATCAAGTGCATGACTGATTTTACTTGGAATATCTGAATGAAATATTAAATGGTTAAATGCTATGGGTTAGTATCCCATTAGTGATGGTGCTTCACTCAGTTTCTCACAGCACTTAGTTGAGATGGCTTCAGAGTCCTGGACCCTTACATTGAATATGCTTCAATATACATAAGTACAGAGAAGAGTGGACAAGCTGGGCTGCCCAATGACTCAATGTGTTCTGTTAAATAAGTAATCAAATTTGTATGAGTTTGAGTAGCCTGCCTCCATTGGTTTATGCATATTACTTTCAGTTGTCATTAAGTTCCCCCTTGTAAATACCATCAACAGAAGCTCCAGACCACATCACGAGACGAAAAAAACACCCTCTTTGTTTTTCCCTGTATCATTTTTTTGGTTGATTTCAAAAGATTGCCATTAGGTACTCTTTTGAGGTAGTATATAAAGCTTTTTTTAATACAGATGAGAGATGGGTCTCTGGTACTATTTGTTAATCTTGAGTGATGTGACCACGTTCTTTAGTAAAACAGATGGAGCAGACCGGCTGAAATTTCTATTTGTGATGCAGGGGGTACCTGTGGTTTTTCAGGTTACTCTGAGGGTTGTGACATCTTGTATTGGTAATGCAGGCAAGGGAGGTGGAATATTTAAGTATTTTAAATATGAATGCTGCTTTTTGTCTGTTGGCTCTCATATTCTTATCGGTATTATTTTTTTGCATGACAATAATCCAACTTTGTGATGCAGGTCCCTTTTGTTAATGTGGCAAGTCATAAATCACAAACCTTACATTCTAAATTAGTCATATCACCTATTGAAGTCAGACTGAGGAAGTCCTGTTTTGCCCTTGTTTAGTACTGCTTTGCTTTGTCTGTGGTGCATTGTTTAAATTCATGACAGCTGCCTCTGTTCAGCCTCCCAAGCTACCTGATTCACGCCTCACCTGCAGCTTGTGCTGTGTGCTCTGTTTTATAGTGTACAGGGCTCATGCAGTGCAGCACCTCACCATTTCCCCTTGTGTGCCTAGTCCACAGGGACCTTGGGGACAACCATTAGAAGTTTAGAGCAGATATCTAATGGAAGAAACAGACACCCTGCCTTGGGAAAATTATATATTTTTGAAGTGGGGAAGACCACACTATAGTGAATGGAATGTGTACCCTTAAACGGAAATGTTAAGAACCTTGCCTTCCATTTGTGTTTTTAACTTTTTTTAATGACGTGTACAGCAGCACACCAACTCTTGTGAATGTAGGCTTAGTTACCTTATTTCTCTAAACTGTAGAATTTAGTTACCATTAAGGAACTGGTACATGGATACATAGGTTCTCCCAACCCAGTCTCCAAGTCGGTCTTTTTCACCTTCACTACAGTAATCATGAAGACTAGAAATGAGGCAGTAAATGGATGAACTAACGAAACTCATCTTGTTTGTTACATCTGCGTTCACATCGCAAGGGATCTTAAATGTACAACAGAAAACAAAAGCCACCAGCAAAACTGTAATGTTAGGTTTAAGTGAATAGCTTTGTTTGTGAGTGCTGGAACTTGAGCCACTGCAGTCCTGGTCTACTTCAGTGTTGATGGATTTGTTGCTCATAAATCTTTCCAGAGTCTCCTTTAGCTAAACAACAGTTTTGGAGAGCAACTTGACATATCATGTTTGTTAAAATTATCAAACAAATAAAGTCAAAGAATTTGTGTCCGTTTGCATTTAATTCACGTGCAATACAATCAGTGAACAAAAGGAAACCTTCAAAATGAAAATACGTTTAGGCATTGAAAAGTGAAAATACAAGGGGTGGGGAAAAAAAATTCATGACATCTTTAAGGAATGTGTTCAGAACAAAGCAATAACAGATAAAGCAGCTCTTAAAAGAGAAACCAAGAATTTGCTCATTCACTACCAGTCTACTAACTTAGCTAGAATTTAGACTTTTTATTTTACACTGAAGTACGACGGAACCATTTCATTGTGAGTAAATAGCTGAGTAAAGATGAATTATGCGCCTCAGTGAGCCCTTCATCTTCAACATATCAGGAGCCACTGCATGTGTGGGAAGAACAATTCAGGCAGGCATCTCTATGAACAGCTTCCTTATGAAGTGTTGTCATGCCACCATTTCCTGATCAAGAAACACACAAATAGGCTCTCAGGAACATGGCACAGCTGGGATCTAACCTGAATCTCAGCTGCAGACTGCACCACTACACCACTTACTGGTTTTGACCATGCAGGTCAAAGGGCCGTACTAAATAAACAAACACCAAATCAGCAGTCTGCCTATTAGTTACAGAAACATAGATGTTCAAGTAAGTTGACAACATGAGGAGTAGGTCATCGGGGCCGGGCTGGAGAGATGTACTGCATCACGACGTTATAGAGACCCCGCAGCAGGGGAGGGGTATGTTCACACACTGCCTTCACCAGGGAGAAGGTGAGGGCCATCACTACTTGCTCTGTATGGACACCAGGCACTTCCTTCAGTAAATTATCCACACTCTGGATGAGGAGGATGTGCCAGCTCTGCAAGCCAAAATACACAAGCAAAGTTAGAAAAGTACAATGACTTTACACAGTCGCTGTAATAACGGACTCAGCATGTGCTCAGCACAGTCCCCCTCACCCATTTATTGCCTTAGAATAGCAAGGCTGGCTACTTAAAATTTTGAGAAAGTATTTTTGTGAAAACACACTTAAAGCAATATCTGTACTCTGCCCATGTCCGGTACTAGCAAATATCTAAAATGTAGAAATGAAGAAGTCATATTTTTTATATTCCTTAACAGGCCAAGAACATAAGTAGTGTGTAGAAACTTTCTTTTGAATATTTCTTTTGAATAAAAGTGGTGATAAGAAATGAACCATGATGCAACCATAACACTGCAACGTAACCTTTCTTGGGCTTTTGTGGCATTTTACCGTAGGGGATATGAATCCAGTTTTATACCACGGGGTAGGTGTGTTATCTCTAAAGCTTGATCCCATTACTACGAATACAAGTTCATTGTTGAATACAAGGACTGAAGGCCTTTTTTAATGTGGCGTGCCTCTGATTTAGAGCATGTAAATCGGAGCATCATACTTGCTAAAAATTGTAATGCACTAATATGGGAATTGTGGGCCAATGCCAATGTTAAGTGATTTTCCAAGTACGTAGCTTCTGATACCGATGCCAATACAAACATTTGTAAAATGGACTGGCGTTACATTTCTTGCTATAGGGTTACAAATGCAGTAAAATATGAATAAAATACATCAGATTTTTTTACCTGCCATAATGATATGACTGATATTGTGCATCTCTAATACATTATTATACTAAAGATAATATAAACATCTTCAGTTAAAATAATGTGTGCAGAGGACAGGTGAAGGAGGATGCACCTTCAACTCTGTTTTCTCCTATTCAAATTTTCTGCAACAAATTCATCGCAACCAGAGCTAGAATTTTTTTTTCTTTTTTTAATTATTAAACAAAATCACTTGCAAGCTGAACTCCTCCAAATACACACCTAATGTTGTATCCAGGGAACTGTACATCCTTTATTACTGCAAGCTTGCACATCACTGTTTAATTTCAGCGCATTAAAGACGTGCAATAGATCCTTTTGTTACGGACACAACATGACAGGAAAAATGAGCTACAAACAATAGTCTACATTAATGAAATTTTGCAACCAGATTATTTCTACACAACTAAATGACTAACTCGATGAAATTAGAGGGAGAATGGAGATTTCTTCATCGACTCGTAAATATTTCTTCCTGTATACTGTTTTTTTAAATACATACAATTTAAATATTTAAAAAAATAAATATTTAAACATTATTGTCATCACCAACATACTGATACAATTTTAGGCTATGTTGCCCATAAGAACACAGGCTAAGTACCTTCTTCACTTTCTCTATATGCAGCTGAACAAGTTGAAGACAAAAACAAGATAATTAAATGGAAATGGAACCTCTAAAGGTTTAACTCACCTCCAGGGAAGTGTTGCTGGTCAGGTTCCTGGCCAGGCCCTCTACAGCTCGAGACACGATGATGTGATTTAGTTCATCTGCAATTCTGATGAGTTCCGCAGCCACCTCTCTAACAGCTTGTGCTTCTTCAGGATTCACTACACAAAGTCAAATGCACACATCAGTATATCAGCGTTGCCCACTGTCTTTTTTTTGCAGGGGCTTTCAAAAAACAGGAGACTCAGATCCTTTCCTGAGACCCTAGGGTCTCCTAAATCTGAGATGGTCTCATTTATTAATTTGTTTTAATTGGAGAATTATCAACTATTTGCTAAATTAATGCATCAGCAGCGTTCCTGCCAATTAATCTGCATTAGTTCCACAATAGCAAAACTCTAAACAGCTCCTTCAACTGTTATGAATTCAAACATTCAAAACTGAATAAATCAGATGAAATGTGCAATTTACTATTAGCAGAGGTAGCACATGCTTCTTAGTATGTTCCTCATTGAATACAACAACAAAAAAGTAGCCATGTCAATCTGGACATAAACCCAAAGGCCTATGAAACTGAAGAGTCCAGAACCGTAGCGCTAAGAACATCAGGGCCTGTCTTTACTAAGCCTCTTAAAGTAGGAGTGCTGATTTAGGATCAGATTCCTCTCTTATTTACTTTGACTTTACTGACTGGAACTGATCCTAGATCAGCATGCTTACTCTGAGAAGCTTCGTGAATACAGGCCCAGAAACACAGAAAGAAATGGCATAGGTTTTCTCTTATTTTATCAAACTTGTTTTGCTAAAAACAAGACTGTTTATCAGGAGCACGTTTCTGATAAAACGTTTGTATTAATCAAAGAATAATGTATGAAATAATTATAAAAATATGAATTTAGTTGCATAGTTGTATTACAATAAGAAATGCATGGACTTTCTGTTCCAGCCATTTCACCCTCGACTTTTTCCTCAGATGCACTGAGCTTTTAAAGGGTGTTAATAATGCAAAATCATGTTGTGTAGTTAGCTACATAGCCCTGTTTTGGACTTGCCTGGTAATTCCAGGTGAACTTCAGGAAGAACACCTTGCAGAAATTCTCTGGGGTTTGTGGGAATGTTTCCGTCTGTTTCCAATTCACCATCACATTCAATGCTCCAGTCCACCAAACCATGGTCTGCATACTCTATCCCACCACTGTAAACACCTGGATCTGTGCTCAGCTTTAGGTCATGACTCAGCCTATGCAGCTCTTTTTCCAAGTCTTTGTTGTAACAATGTGCTTGGTCAAGGAAAGTCAGGAAGAGCAAAGAAAAACAGTCAACGTTGTCGTTGACGTCCATCGCAATGGTGTTCAGGCTCTTTCCTTCGCAAGCTGTAATAAAATAAAATTGTAAACATGTAAACAGAGCGATACCTGTGTTACAAAGGAAAATAGGTCACCCAGAAGGGCACATTCTAAAATACTTAATGTCAAAAAAGCTTAACGTGGCCAACACAACAATCTAACGTTAGGAACACCAATCCTCTTTCACTCACTACTGGCCATAAGTACTCTCTACTGCTGGAAGGATGAAGCTGTGATCCAAAAAGAAAGTAAAAATTTCATGGATTATAAACACACAACGAGATTAATCCTAGCACACATCAGCATTTGCTTAAATGGGAAGAAATATGAGGGGGGAAAAAGCTTGATGCGAAAATGATTATTCTTTTTGGATCACAGGGTCATATTTTTTACGGTAGAGAGTACTTCTAAACAGTGAGAGAGCTTAAGCGTAACTTAATCTTCTAACGTAAACAACGTAAGGTGTTTTCTTAAACAAACAAACAAAACAAAAAACAACACTTGCCCCTACAACATAACTCTGCGTTAACCGGTAACATTTCAGTTTATGTAACTTGGAGGACTCCACAGATCTCATAAAGAGCTTCTTAATGTCTAAAGCCTTCTGCATTAGACTCCTGAGTTTGGGCTACTGTTAGATAGTTAGCTAGTTGATTATTTTAAGCTGGCTAAAAAGCTTAGCTACTCAGATATAATGATGAAACGTTAATGTTAGCTAGCTAGGTTAACTAACACACATGTACATAATACAATTAGTTTACGAATAAACACAGCTACTTATTTTGTAAAAAGCAAGAAAACATATCCCTAATTTATGTTTTCGAGTACACGTAACGTTAGCTCGCCGAAAACAAACAAGATACCGAACTACCTAGTTAGTTAACGAAGTTACTTGAGAAACCGGTAAACTTCCCCACAGCGAGATCGGTCACGCGGATTTAAGAAAACTAACCTTACCAAACTGTTAGCTAGGGTACGTAGGTGAACTGTCATTTTCGGTGATACATCTAACTACTTAACCTACATTAGTTTCAGTCGCTTTGTTAAAACTTATCACAGTAAAACGACAAAATCCCAAGTCTCACCTCTCCTCAGCTCTCCTCTCCTCTCCCGCTACAAGTTTGTGCTGCTTTAAAAACACTGCGAATAACTTCCAATACAAACATTCAACCCTACGCCCTTCCACTCAGTGTGAGATCGCCGTGGGGGTACAGGAACCACCACTGAATACAACAGCGTTTAATATCTTTTCTTCATGTCTTCAAAAAGCAGCAACTTCCGTGTTTAGATTCGAACACTCAGTTGACTTTCTGGTAGTAGCTTGAATTCGCTGAAGCTGTATATCATACAAAAACTGCAAACTGAACACTCTCACGAGACGGATTTTCCTAAGTGGAAGTGGCTTCCCACAGTGAAGCGAGCTTACTTCGAATTGGAACGGACCCAAACGAAAGCGGGTGAAGACTGCGCTTTACCCTGACTGTGTTGGAACGACGGCAGACATGAGACACTTACAGAGAATCCGGTCTTGATTCCCCCGAGGCTGGTAACAGGTTCCCCTTAAGACAGCAGAATGTGAAAGCCGGAGAGGTCTTTAGAGAAGAAAGCTTAATTAAAGCCGCCTCGGACCAACCGTAAACAGAGCTGTTTAGTGAGCTCGTCACATTTACAGCAGCAGCGCTTTAACTTCAAAACAAACTCTCAGCACTGTACCAGAACGACGCAGAAAAGGAAAGCATGTAGCACGGTAAAATTTGGACCAAGTTGGAAAGTCCCTTTTTTGCTGACTACGTTATTTCTGCCCCCCCCCCCTCCTCGTATTAGCCAACGTTTAGTTTGTTCATAGACGAAAGGTGCTTTGTCGGAAAAGAGATTGTAACTGTAGCCGTCGGATTTCCCCTGAAGAAGCGCTGTAGGTACAAGATAAGTAAAGGCCTGCAGCAGCAGCCTATGCAAAACATGTATGTAGTGCTTCAACTTTAGAAAAGCAGTTATATCAATCGTACTCAGTACACACTTAGTAACATTTAAAATCTTTATTTACACAGATAAAAGAGTTTCAAGTCAATTAAAAAAAACGCCCACTTTTCACTGAAATGAAATGCCCCATGTTCTGTTACTTAAGTTCACACACAGGGTGTGAGACATCAGTCCACCAGAAGCAAAGATCAGTGCCCCAGGCAACCAAAACTCATGGAGCGAGCCACATTTCGTCCCACCAGCCTCCGGCCTGGTCTAGAAAGAGAGCCTGAGCCCGAGCTTCCCCCGGAGGTGGCCTGTCCTGTGGACAGCGGGGTCTGCTGAGGCGAGGTAGCGGCTAATCGAGCCTCTTGGAGTTCCCTGAAGAGAAGAGATGAATTAAAACCTGTTAAACTCAGGTTGACCATCCACAGTTAACATAGCTCTGTCAGAGAAGGTTATAACTAGTCACAGCAGTGCCCTCTGTTGGTAATCATACTGAAGTACAAGTACACTCTTCAAAAAATGGTCCTTCAGTGGTTCTCAGTTCCAGGCCTGGAGAAATGCTTGCACACCTTATAAAACTTTTATTTTTTTTACACTTTAAAACATTACATGATGAATGAACTAATAGAAGGACATTTACTTGAATGTAGGTTTGTGTAAAGGGCATTTCACTGATTAAAAAAAACAAACAAAAAAAAATCAGCAAAAAATCTGCATAATTAGTCATTCTGAGCGGTTTGTTATGAGGTGGTTTTGGCCTATATTTAGAAACATACATGTAGGGTGTCCTACTTAAAAAAAAAAATAATAATAACAATAATAATATGTATGTATGTGTGTGTGTGTGCGTGCATGCATGCATGTGATATCACACACACCTCGCTGTTGTTGAAGACAACCTTGTATCTCCATTTGTCATTTTTCTTTTTTTAAAAAAATACCCTTTATGTTGCCCTTGACGTTGTGTGTAAATTTAATGAAGAATGGACCAAAAGGAATGGTCCAAAATTACTTTGGGTGGGTGGGTCTGGTTCCATTGACTTACATTATAGGCAAAGTATGTTTTTTCCTTCTCCTGTAAAAGTTACCATTTTGGAGATAAGAGCTTTTCTTCCAACAACAGTGACACACACACACACACACACACACACACACAAAATAGGTCATTAATTTCTAACATTAGGTCGATCATAAACCCTTCCCTCACCTTTCCAGCATGGCTGTTCTGAATTTCTCAACGTTGAGCTCTCTGCGTAGCTGTGTGGCCAGTTTTCCAGCCCTTTCTCTGCGCAGCACCGGGTGCCTGCACAATGCAGACGCAGACGGCCTCACAGCAGGATCAGGGTCCAACATCATCTGCCAAATGTAAGCAATGTCTACATTATCCTTTTCTTTTTTTATTGAGACTATCAGGAACCAGGCTTAATTATAATACCACAGGCAACATGGAGCTCGAGTGTAACATCTGTTACAGCAGGGGTCATCAATTGTAGTTCTGGAAGGCTAAAGTCCAGTACACTTATCCTTATCAAAAATGGTTATATTACAATAGTGGAACCCTTTTTGCAGCTAAATAGAGACATTTAAAAAGGGTTCTTTAAAGAACCAAATACACAACTGTTTTTTCAATTCTATAGAAGAACCATTTGACCATGTAAAGAACCATTTATGGATTCAAATGGTTCTTTGAATGCTCATGCTTCTATATACAAACACTGCCTTTACTAAAGAACCCTTGAAGAACCTTCAAAAAGTGCACAGTTTGATCTCTCTGCTGAAAGACACAGGATTCAGCTCCTTGCTCAGTGACCAGGTTCAGTTGATCTAGTACAGTGATCACCAGCCCCAGTCCTGAAGATCTCCTTTTCTTGCAGAGCCTTGGTCCAACTGCATCTCCCACACCTGCTCCAGCTAACTGACTTATGTTGCATGCAAGATGGAACTAAACCTCTGCAGAAATGTAGAAGGGGGGTTGGTGATCCCTGATCTAGTAGATATTAGAACAAGAAAGGTGGGGGGGGCTGTCCTAATGAACAACATCAATGACTGATGGAAGAGTAATGGAAGGATAGCAGACTAGACTACAGTTATCATTTCATTGCACCTGGGTAAGATTTCTTAAGGGTGGCGTTAACTCCTGGGGCAGGCTGGGTAACTGAGCCTGCCTGAGACTGTGCCATTCATCTCCATTCTGTGGCAACGGTGGAGCTCCTGCTGCTAACAGCACCGTCAGACCCAGTGCAAAGATATCTGCCTTGGGTAGATGACTGTAGTCCTGGAAGCCAGATAGAACAAGCAGAGGGCACCAATATCACAATTAGCAAACATTTACTCGAGTTAGATAGTCTACACCAGGGATCGCCAACTGGTGGACCGGAGCCTGGATGAGGACCCAGCAAAGTATTTCAGAGGATCAAACAGAAGCGTGTCCAATCAAATCAATCAATACATAAATAAAACTTCTGTAGCAAAGTCAATTAACATATGGGAAAAACTGTCACATTTCAGTGACATACATGAACCTGAACCAGTGTGGCTTCTGTAGCAGTCCTGCATTACAGTTTATCTTATTCATGTAAATGACTCAAGCAAAAGCAGCTCGGCAGAACAAAGACTACAGAATAGCTTTTATTATTGTTTATTTTAATGGAATTTTATTTTTTTTTAAAAAAGAAACTTAAGGTATCTGCCTTTTTCTTTGCACAAACAGCGATACAATTTTAAAATGCTCATTAAAGCATTTACATTTAAAATAATGTATTAAAATATTTTATGTAACATATTTTATTAGTTAGCTGAACTAGTCATAAATGGTTATGCATTTAAAAATAATCGTTGTTGCCATTCATCTGTTAGTTTGTTTATCTGGACCTTTGTAAGTTTCAGCTAAATATGCCAAAATATTTATGATTGTTCTACAAGAATGCAAGACAGTAGCACTCAACAGGAGCATTTTGCTAAAACAAACTGACTCCTGCTGAATTTAAATAAATAAATCAATCCCGAGTTGCACCTCACGCAGAATTTCACAGGCCAGGAAGCGGCTGTCCCCCTCCTCCACCTGAGGACTGGAGATGGAGGTCACATGACCCAGGTCACCTGTAATCAGAAAACCATATGCTGGACCCTGAAAGACGGATTCTTAAAGCAGTTCATCAAAAGGCAAGAATGAATGTCCACAGGTGTGGATTAATTACCAATTTTATAGACCACCCCTGACGAAGGGTATGCATCATCTTCCTCTTCACTGTCTCCTGCTCCTCCAGTGCTGGAGCTGGGCCGATGGCAGATGAATATATTACCTACAGAGCAAAGAGTACATTCACATAGAGTGATGGCTCAGACAGAAATAAAATTTTCCCCTTTACCCTAAATGTGGTGCATCAGCCAGAAAATGATCCATGTCCTAATTTTGTTTCTTTTGGTTTGCGCAAGCGTTACAAAATTAATGTAGCTAACAAGTAAAAGAAGCTTACAGCCACCTGTTAGCATTGTCCTGGTTGCTTGCCAAATCACAAACTATCCTCAAACCATGTCAAGTTATGTAATCTCAAATAGAATTGTTTGTGATTTCTAACACTGTATGATATTAGCGGTGGGTGAAATGGCAAAAATCTCATACTTTGACATTTTCACAATACATGATATCACAGTTTGAGGTTTGATAAGTTGGGACAAAATGTATAATACAAAAATACATTTTTAAAAATTCTGTATACAGAGACTTAACACGTCATTCACTGCACAAAACTAAATATGCTCTCTGTAATGAAACAACTAATGATGTTCTTTAAAAGGGCCAATATCCTGCATTTTCGTTACATTTCATTTTTTTCCTGAGGTCCACTTATGACGTGTAGGTTTATGTACCAAAACTGTCAATTTCTTTTTACATGACCATCTTCCAACCTTTCTTTATCCCTTAGCATTACACAGGCTGTTTTAGTTACTATGCCTTTAAGACTATATAAATGACCTCTGTTCTGATTGGCTGCCTGTACCTCATTCATAAAGTAGTCTGGGCTGAAACACTCCTTATAACTTCAGTGTTGTAATATGACTTGATTTATCACAATAATAAAATGTCTATCCATAAAAATGCACAACAGTAGGGATAAAACTCAGGCTTCAGAATGGCTGCTACTGCTGTTTTAGCTATGAAACATACTTCTGTCTGTGTACAGCTCCAGTAGAAAACTAAAGAAGTAAATTTCAAATACCACACATGCTATAGCTGATGAACTATATTGGGATTAGGGGAAAACAGTAAATTTGATTTTTGGCAGAACCACTGCTTAAGTCCAACTTTGAACAAGGACAAAGAGGATACAAAGGAAAATGCTTGTAAAAGGAGAACTCCACTGATTTTTCAAACGTTCACCATAAAGTAATGGTTAAGATGTAAGCAAACATTGAGTGGTTTCATGAGAAGTACTCTGTTCCAGAGAAGCTTACCAAGTACGTATTGTTTACTGCAGTAGTGACAGGAACCAGACATTCAAAGAGTTTAGTGACTCTAAAAGCTCCCTCACAAAAGGGTATTACATGAAATAGAAATGAACACACCGCCTGGCATTGTTTTGACATTAGCTTTTGTGCTAAAATGTATTTCTTTAAATACATTAAATGGTGGAGAGGTACATGCAAGGCCTTGAAAGACAGTACTCCCCAAAAATTTCAGATTTTTGACTATTGTACCATCACAATGACTAATAAAACTCAAGACATATTTATGTTTCCTGGTGGCTTTGGATAGTAAATAAAATGGCCATGTTGCAGGCATCACAACCCCTGGTGTCCATCGTCACCACTGTAAAGAGTCAGTAAGTTTCACTACAGTTAGCCATTGTATCAGCCATTGGTTTACATCACAATAAATGCATTATGCAGAATTTTTGAAAAACAGGTGGAATTCCCCTTTAAGGAAAGGAAGCTTACTGGGTTTGATGTCTAGATGCACTAAGCCAGAGCTGTGGATGTATTTGAGCCCCATTGAGACCTGAAGGAGCAGATCTCTCAGCTCTGGCTCCCGAAAGAACTCTCCTTGCTCTTCCTTCTCAGTCAAGACATCAAGGAGGCTCCCACCTACAAAATCATAAAATATGTGATGTGGGGTATTATAGCTATGTACTCAGATGTATGGTAGTCTGTTGTAATGAAACCATTCCAAACAGTCATCATACCATCACAGTACTCATTCTGAATGATCATGTGGTCATCCTCAGCCCAAGCCGAGTAGTAGCGCACAACATGTGGGTGATGTCCCAGCACAGCATGGGCATATACCTCCTTTAAGGCCAGCTGCCTGTGGACAAAACAAAAGCCTCCTATTTCCCCCCCCTCACATCTATTTAAAATTAGAAAAAAAATTATTCTGTATTTGTGCTTGTACAACTTTGTAAGACAGCAATGGTTTGAAAAAGAAACTGACAAAGCAGTGGTCATGCCTGTTCTGATGCATTACTGGGCATAGTCAGTGCTGACTCACTCATTGGCGGAGCCTGCGAGCGGCCTGCGTAAGCGTTTGATGGCATACATGCAGCCATCCAGCCTCTTCACACAGCGGTACACGGCACCAAACTCGCCCACGCCGATCCGGCCCAACTCCAGAAACTCACTCTCATAGCGTGACAGCATGAGGGCCGGCACTGCTGGCCTCTGAGCGCAGACAGATGGAAGATGGGGTGAAAGAACAGAGGGAGAGACCTGATGATGAGATTTATCTGTAGATGGTCAGGCTTTTGCAGATGGAAGTTCTTTTCAAACCATCAGTAAAGGAGAGACCATGGTGGGAGGAAAATTGTACAGAAGTGTCCAGCACCATACCTTTGATGGGAGGAAACAGCTTTCATCCTCAGATGAGGTCTGAGTTTCTTTTGACCTGCACAGACAGATATGAGACACACTGAGAAGTGCTGAGTATGAATATCCCTTATCCTACTGGACACATCTGATTTGGGATTAAAAGAATTCCACAGATTTCTTAACACCTCTCGGTAATTCAAATGGCCGAGATGTAAACAAGGTCATTCAGAGAAGCAAAGAGTAGTTTGATGTAAAACAGTTTATTGTAATGAAACCTATAGACTTAAGATTTCTTTGCAGTGATGGGAATCAGGGGTCACAATGTCTACAACGCGAATGCAGCCAAAGCAGCAGTGAACTACGTGTCTGAACTCGTTTTCATAAAGTATAATTTGAACACACCAGTTGCCACATACATCTTTAATACCGAACAGACCAAAAGAAAATAAAAAAATGACAAAATAAAATCTTATGTTAACTTATTCTGACTGTTAAGAATGGTTTGTCTTCTCCTGTACAGTTACTTTTCTGGAGATACAAGGTTTTGTTTCGACAGTGACATGTGTTGGTAATGGTAAAAAAAATTGGAAGATCTGAAAATAAGAGTTTTCTTTGGCGAATATTTTGCTCTGTATGTACCTCTCCACAATGAAAGAGCCATTAAACTCTTCAGACATCTGGTTCCCATCACCACCACTGTGAGCAATTCTGACTCAATATTTTTCTTTACAACCGCACATTTTACATCAAAAAACTTTAAGATGTAACAAAGTAATTTAAACATTTGGTTTTTCAGATCTGATCAAATTCCTCATCATATTAAGGAACTTTCCTGAACAAACCTCTTCTGTTATAAGGTAGCTAGGGGTCTAACAATACAACGTATCGCATCGTATTGTATAGTGGCCACCGTGTTGGCTTGTAACTAGCACATTAGATTAGGAGTCATAGCCTTCGCTTAGTGTTTCTATGCAACTAGTCTGAATGGATCAAGCAAACTCCACTGTACCGTACTAAAGTTTCAATTATTAGAATGATGAATGCTCTAACAACCAGAAAATAGAAAGAAAAGGTCAATAACATAACACATTTTCAGGGTCTCATGTTTGCTGTATTGGAAAATACTTTGAATCAAGACACCACTGCATTGCATGTATTGAAATAAAAATCAATTTCATGAATCATAATTCCCCTATAGAAGTTTGTAGTACCTGCGTCCATCGTCCTCATCATCACCGTCACTCCTGCAGCTCTTCCTCTTGCAGTGTTCGCTGTTCCTCCTCACCGTGTCTGGAGTGAAAGGGTTAATGTTGACGGCAGGTACACGGTCAGGGGCATTGGGCAGACACAGGACCCTCTGGCTACGACAGGGCTTGCTGCTCGAGTAGGGCAAGGTTGACTTAGACAGTAGACTCTGAGGGAGAAGGTGAAATTCCACACATGTGGTTCTCTAATATTACATTTACTACTGCGTGAAGCCATTTAGTAAACACTGCCTTGCTACCTTAGGAGTACTGGGGGAGTCACAGAGCCGGAGTTTCCTCCAAGCTGAGTAAGGTATGGGTGAGGTGGGTGCGGATGGGGAGACTGTGACACTCCTGGCACGGTGGCGCTGCACTCTGGGGGTCCGGCAGGCAGAGGAGGGGCTTCTTAGTGTTACACTTACTGGTGCCCAGTCTTCCACACTACTGTCACTGCTGTCCTCCTCCCCACAGCTTGAGAAATTCAAATGTTGCTGGATTGCATTCTCATTCACAGCAGCCATCCTCGACCACTAGACAAGAGGGTTCAGTTCAGCATCTTTCAAACAGTCAACACTTTGCTCTGGAGAGATCTTGAGAGGACCTCTCAGGTTCAGTACTCTGACTGGATTACCCAATAAACATCAGGGCCATTAGTCTTAAACCAGACACTACTGCTACACTTTATATTTGACTTAAGTGTAAATAAAACCATGTAAACAGACGTGTCTAAGAGAAGGCCTCTGTGATCTGTGACATGGAGGGGAGAAGAAACTAGTATGAGAATCACTGCTTGGTAAAAGTCGAATAAACAAGGTTATCAGGTTTTAATCAGTGAAATATAAGCCAGATGAAAGGCAAAGTGAAATGGAAGATAACAAACTTGAGACCTCTCAGTGATGCTGATTTAAAAACTTTAAGACTCACCGATTCTTAGATCCGGGGCCTACTCGAGCTAACTTACCCCAGGCAACCTGAGCCACCGCCACGCTTCAGGCCCAGATTTCGCTAAATAGCCTCCAGCCTGCTCCCCTTTAGATAGGCCCGTCCATCTGAGGTTTATCTTAGAGGTTAAGGGGAGGGCCGTTAACGACGTTCGTCAAGTATTTAAGCCAATGGCTGTTTGTTTAATAGTAAACCACGCCCCTTCCCCCCAACAGAGCAGAGGCCAAAGGGCGCGGCTCTCGTTGAACGTGTTAAATTTGACAAATATGTGGGCTACATAAACCTCGAGAATATTGAAGTTGAGTTTTCAAAGGCTAGTTAGCGGTTTAATGTTGGAGAACGTTTCCTCGTTCATGGATCCTGTTGAACTGATTAATTTTATGATATGACGCTGTTCAGGTAAATAACAACAAAGGATATTGACAATTAGGGATTGCTTTAGGCCAGAAACATACTGAACGCAAGTACACGAACGCAAATGTCAGCGCTCGGCCAACGGACTGCAGACACTCGGTCCGTCTGTACAAACATTACTGTAGCGGTTAAAACACAAATGAGAGAGGGATCTACTGTCATTCCAACAGCCTCAACAGCTAAACCTGGACAAGTAAAGTTGCTTTGACCCTTTTGCTGGAATGGAAAGGGAATCATTTTATCATTTTTACGTGAGAATTAACTGCTCGTCTGCTGTGGCAGTTGAGGATACACGCTGGCTGTACAAGACTTTTTGGACAGGCCTGGCTGTCGTTATAGCGCCCCCTGCTGTAACGCTCAGAATGCAGCTCGCGCTTGCGTTGCGTTATTAAATGCGTCGTGTCTGCGTAGCTCGAAGCGTCTGCTTTCGTGCCCTTGCGTAAAGTATGTTTCGGTCCTTACTTACAGCTTTCTGGCGATCTACAGCACTACTCGATCCAATGTAGCATTAAATAATGTAGCATAGCTAGTTAATGCACTTAAAATCAGCTAGATTTTAATGATTTAACTGTTAAGCTACACCCCAGTTAGCAAAATTTATCCACATCCTTGGTTTAGTTCTGGCCCAGTTCTGGCTGGGTCCCCGGCCCAGATCTGGCCCATATACTGTAAAACGAGAAGAACTAATGAATGCGGCCCGGATGACGCCCACACACTATAAAATTAGTACAACTAATGGATGTGGCCCAGCTCTGGCCCATATTCTGTAAAGTGAGTAGAACTAACAGATGTGGCTCAGATCTGACCCACATACTGTAAAGTGAGTAGAACCAAGTGTTCTGTCCCAGCTCTGGCCCATGTACTGCAATGTGCGTAAGTTTAACGGCTGTGGTCCAGATCTGGCCCATAAACTGTAAAGTGAGCATACTTGAAATGTGTGGGCCAGATCAGGCTCATATATGCCACACAGTTATGGCTGAGTACCCACCTTGGTCCCTGGCCCAGATGTGGCCCTGCAGGATGCCACACTCAATTATTGCAGAGCATGCAAAATATTAGTAATATTTCTTCCTAATAATCAATAGATGTTGACAAAAGCCATTTCAGAATGAAAACTCGATGTTGATTTTGGTTAAATAAATAAAAACAGAAAGCTTCACCCGTGTGGCAGGTCATTATCTGCAGTCTTTGTGTGTACATCTTCAAGGACATATACTGCTGGTCATTCTGCCGACCATCTGCCTTAAAATCTCATGTATCGATAAATTTAAATGCATGATTTTATTCTATATTATGTTAAACATGGGCCCTTTCTGGGATTTGTATTGGATCCCACTTCAGCAAGAGGTGGGTTTAGAAACCCTATGGTGGTAGTAACGTAAGAAGTTATACAGAGACTTTTAACTGGTTCCATCATGAGCTTACGTGGGTATATTATGATCATTATGCTTTGTTTTGCGTACATTAATTTTTACAGAATCCCTTGCAGTGCAGAATCATTTAAACAAAACAAAAAGCAAAAACATGTAGAATGTATTCAGATTGTTTATTGTGGTTCACAATTACAAATTTTCAAGGTAGAAAAAATATTAATGCACAAAAGCAAATACACAAAACAGAAGTGTTTTGGTCTGTTGTTGATGAACCTCATACAACGGCTAATGAATACACAAGTTAAAACAAGCAATGTATGTTTTTTGTTAATTACATAACCTATAGTTATATATAATAAATAATAAAGGTTTGAAGTGATTTGTTGTTCAAAGATGTATTTAAAATACTAGATAGTGACAGTTATTCAGTGGCCTTAATAATAATAATAATAATAATAATAATAAAAGTTTTCAAAATATTTGTTCTAAAGTAAAAACTTACGATTTATAAACTAAAATTCTACATCGGTCAAAACCTGTCCACTTCCTGATGTCTGAGGAAAGAGGAAAAGCATTCAGATATCATTTACTTCTTTGATGGATTTCCAGATAACACAGTTTTTTGTGTTACATTGTACAACAAATCCCTTTACCTGACAATCGGAAATAACTCCACAATCAGCATTTCCAACAGGTCCATCTGCAGACTGAATGAGCTCTGTCACTTTTGAAGCTGTTTCACTGTAAGCAGTCACAGAACTCCAGTAACAGCTTGTCAGGAATAGATGGGTTTTACTTTAAAAACTGAATAATGAGGCAAGAACTCCACAACTGCAAGATCTGTAATCAACAAGAAAGGCTTTGTTCTAACAAACATTAAGAAAGCCATAATCAAAAATAAGCTACTTACAGGCTTTCTTGTCCATTTGAAAATGATAAACTTGGGAGGGAAAATTCATTAAATGAGGGTTTTAACCCTTTTCTGTAACTTCAGTCATGGGCCACTTATGACATGCCAGAATTCAGCCAAAAGAGCTGAGACGTAAATCAGCGAGCATTGGTCTGCCGCAGCATTAAGGTGCGGCCCTCTTCCTTCATCCACACTGTTGGGCCACAACATTCATGCCAGAATTGGCCCTTAAAAGTAAATATGAGTCAAAACCTTACACAGCTGTCCAGCATCTGGCCCAATCCTGGCCCACATGCCTAATATCTATCATGAAGACAACCAACACTCACGTATGTAAGCCAGAATCGGCCCAGAACGGTCTGCTATCCTGGTGGGCCACTTATGGCATGCCAGACTTGGGCCAAAAGTACTGAGGTGTAAATAAATGCTAATTTAATCATTTTATTTCAAGTTAAAATACACACTCCTTAACTTTTCAGAAATATTCTGTTAAGCTACACCCCAGTTAGCAATAAAGGTGTTTATTTACTTTTCAACAAAAACAACAACAGTCACTTTATTGCTTTTAAGAAGATAATAGGACATAAACTGAACTCTATTCACGGACAGTGCCACATGCATTCACCATCATTACATGGACATATTTACTTTGGACATACACACTGATGTATGATATGAGTGCATCAGGCATTGCTGGGGTTTTTATGCAGCTGGACAACTCTGTTGAAGAAGCTTGGTGACCAAAATATAGAACCAAGACAGAAACTGACCACTGAAGAATCTATAGTTTCTAACAACAGCAAGGTGCAACTACAGAGTAAGAAAACAACACACATACACATCATTTACCCTCAGATGTCTTTACAAACGCAATAATTTAAGAATTCATAGGGAAGCCCAGTCCTGCCAGGCAGTGGAGAAAAAAATCACCTAGTTTTTTCCTGCTTCTCTGTTTCTGGCAGCAGTAAAAATATTGACTTAGCGTCTCAAGACAATGGGTTATTTTCTCAAAATATTGACTTATCTCGAAGTAATGACAAAAAATAGAGATATGTAAAAATAATGAGCCATTAAAATTTCAAGAAAGCAATAATTATTTTGGGATGATGAACCATGATTACGAGATACATTATTCTGACATAGTATGTCAGTATTACGAGATACTATGACGTTATTTTGAAATAAGTCATTAATACGAGTTGCGCCATTATTTCGAGACAGCAAGTCAAATCGAGGAAATAATCATTATTTTGACATAACAGTCATTATTACGAGGTTCGCCATTATTTCGACACAGTGAGTCAATATTTTGAGGAAGCAATCATTATTTCGTCATAATAAGTCATTATTACGAGATACTACAACATTATTTCGACACAGCGAGTCAATATTTTGATGAAACAATTATTTCGTCATAATAAGTAATTATTACGAGATACTACGTCATTATTTCGACACAGCGAGTCACTATTTTGAGGAAACAATCATTATTTCGACATAATAAGTAATTATTACGAGATACTACGCCATTATTTCGACATAATAAGTCATTATTACGAGATACTAAGCCATTATTTCGACACAATGAGTCAATATTTTGAGGAAATAACTCGTTATTACGAGATGCTAAGTCAATATTTTGAGTGTTGCTAGAAACAGATGGGTAGAAAAATTTGTGCTGCGTGATGTCACGAGACACTAGGCAGAGTCGCTCGCATTGTAACACGTGAGCGGAAGCGCGCGACGTCATCAAAACAGTGTCCGCGGCTGTTGTTCATCTTCCTCTCACTGACGCACACTGCGAACGGTCACAGAGCAGCAGACATGCGTTACCTCAAAACAACAAGAAACTGGGGTTTGTTTTGAGCCGACCACCCGAGCGCGTTTCTAGCGGCGAGGCGCCTTTTGTTTCCCCCCCGCGGTGACGGCGATGGTGGAGCAGTCTGACCGCGCTCCGCTGCTGGACTGGGAGGAGGTTCCTCCGGGCCAGCCGCCCCCCAGCGGCCCCTCTCTGGACCCGTCGGACTCTGCAAGCTCTGAGCCGTCGAAATGCCGGCCTCAGGGCAGGGAGGGCGGCGGCTCCGGCTGGGCTTTGAGCCCTGGAGCTCCGGGCAGCGGAACAGCTGTTAGAGGCAGAAGCCCGCACTCCCCCTCCATACAGGCCGGGCCTGAGGGGGATGCTGGAGCCACCGACGAGGAAGGAGACTGCGCTTTTACTGGACTGTCCGTTAAAGAGCGTCGAGCCGCTGAATGGGAGGAGAAGGACCAGATTGTTGCTGTGTTCGTGGTGACATTCGACACGAGATCAGGTGAGCTAACAGTGCAGTGGCAGTGTCACTGTTTGTAGTGTAGCAGGGCACCATAACCAGCACAGGGATGCCTTAGTGGAGATTAGATCTCCTTTTAAAGCTAATATTTGTTATCTTTTAATGCTCTAAGTGGTACGTATAGCCCACTCTGTACCTGTACTGTACATGTTTCACGTGTGTACACCCACCTCACTGGTCAAGCACTGTATGAGACATGCTGTCGTTTCAAGGCATGAAGCAAGAGAAGTGAATTTGGTGAGAGTTTTTAAGTCACCCAGATGACTAATACAAACTCCTTGACTTCCCCTTTAAAATGACTGTGAACGTACAGTATGTCACTTTCAGGAAGGCACCCTGAATGACGAGGTTGTTTGGCTTTGCCTTGCAAGCATGTGGACACATGTTTAGATCTGCAGTTTCACAGTTTGTACTGTTCACTTGGGTGTCATTGACAGGAAACATGGTGGAGTGGTGCTTACCTCAGGATGTAAACCTGGAGGGGGTGGAGTTCAAGTCTATGGCCAGCGGCTCTCATCGAATTGCGAATGATTTCATGTAAGAATTTGATAACACAAGTGGTGACCTATAAACAGACGTGATATTCTTTGTACACAAACACTACAGACTGATAATGCATGGTGTACAGTGAGAAGTTAGTGCACTGCTCTACCTTATAAGAAAAAATTGCATAATTAAACCAGTAAGATGTAAACAGCCATTACAGTTTGATGTTAAATGTTCTATTCTAGAGAAACGTACAGTCTGAATTGTTTACACTGGTGATGCTAGGAACCAGACGTCTGAAGAGTTTCAAAACTACTTCACAGAAAGCTTTTACATGAACTAGTTACAAATGCACTGCCTGATGGCTGAGACGTTGTTTTACAGTGGCTTTGAGAAGACTTTGACCTAAAACTTTGGTGGAGGGGTATCTGTAGGGCACTGTAGAGCAAATACCCAAACAGAATGTACACATAAAAACTCAGAAGGCACGTGTCGGTTCACTAGTCATTTTGGATAGCAAATAAAATGGCAATAATTGCGCAGTAGGCATTGCAATCGCTGGTTCCTGTCACCACTGTAAAGTGAGTTGGTGAGTGTTAACTACAATGCACCATTTCACATCAAACTGCTCTGAATGACTATTTACAACTCAACAATTGAATTGTACAGAAATGTTGAAAAGTTGATGGAATTCCACTTTAATGCTATACACACAGTGATATGTATGTTTTGGCTGTGTTTTTAGATATTTCAGGAAAGGCTCTTACTTTGGGCTGGCATGCTTTGCTAATATGCCAGTGGAAAGTGAACTAGAGAGAGGTGCTCGAATGAAGTCTGTAGGCATTCTGTCTCCGTCGTACACCCTGTTGTACCGCTACATGCACTTCCTAGAGAACCAAGTCCGGTAAGTGCTTTTGATTATACGCTGTCCCCAACAAAAAGGGTTGCCAACCATATTGGACAGAGTAAGACTTTCGGATGTTTTCAGAGTGAAACAATTGAGTCAGATTAGTTTTCCTGTTCTAAATGTGATTGGATTCCTGGATATAGCCAGAATTCTATTTGTCATTTCCTCAGTCTCTCCTCACACCGCCGCTCATCACGCCTCCCTTCTTCTTTTCACCCACCCCCGTTTCTATATTTATGATATTCTCATCTATTAAACATAGGCTCAGAGACGCAGGTGATGTCACAAGATTTTTTGACTCATTCAATCTGTTGGACTCTTTGGAACTTGATCCACTCAACAGTGTACACAGCCGTGCTGTTACTTTTTTATTCACGTAAATGCAAGAAGTCCTATTGGACACCCTTATTGAAACTTCAGCAACCTATACCTACCTCTTTATCTCTCACTGAAACCTATTTTCAGTTAATTATTAAGCTTGTTATAAGAACACTGTGCATATTCAATCTGAAAAATGCTATCTGTGTTTGCCTATAGGCACCAGCTGCAGTGTCCAGGCCAGTACTCTCCACTAGAGGCGTTTTATGAGGATAAAAAGGCTGTGCTTCCCCCTGGAGGGAATGGCCTGGTCACTGCCTGCCCCACCAGTGCCCTAGGGACCATGGTAAACCGCTGCATGCATCCAGAGATGAAGGTGAGGACATAGAACATAATACCTCTAAAATATTAGATCCTATTTGCTCTTGCTTGTTATTATGTTGCCATTAGAACAACTTTTAGTCTGACCTTGTGATGAAACTGAGGCTGCAAATTTAAGGTCACATTAGTCACAGGACATTATAATGTGCATTGCTTTTGTAAGTAAGAGAAAAATCTGTGCAGTCAGAGTAGACAAAGAGCATTTCTTCATTTTGCCCAGAGTTAAGATTTGATTCACTCCCACAGGGCCTTCTATTGTGAGCATGGCAAGTCAGATAAACTCTAAAAATTGCTGCCTGTTTTTTTTCATGGCTTAGTGACATACTTTGTGTGTTTATTGCAGTGGTAGAGTTTGGCTAAAACAATAAAGGTGCTAGATGTTCGTGCAGTTTGTTGTTTTGTTAGTCAGCTTAAACTCCTGTCATGTGCCTTTCAGTATCACATTTCTCACAGTGGTCATCTCGGTTCACTTCCTGTCAGATCACACATCCTGCTGGCTGCATGTCCCAGTTCATCCGCTTCTTCGGAGAGCAGATCATGGTACTGTGGAAATTTGCCCTATTAAGGAAGCGCATCCTCATCTTCTCCCCTCCACCTGTTGGTGTGGTCTGCTACCGGGGTGAGACATGAACTTAGCCAAATGACAGACAAACCTGCAAATGAAGTAAAAATGACCATACCTTCACTTGTTTGTAGGAGACAGCAGCCCAGTTTAACACATTTTGAGTTTTGAGCAATATTTTAAGCAAGAAATAAAAAGAAGGGCTGGACAATTTGGAGTAAATATTTAATTGTGATTTTTTTTCCAATATTGCAAATGGGATTTAAATGCGATCATTTTCTATTAATTAAGCCATTTTTCTGTCAGACTTGAGGTCAGAACACTGTATATAATGTGCCAGACTGCCAGTTCACAAGCTCTGCATGGTTAGGTTTAGTTCAACCAATTAAAACTTGTTAAGTCAATGTTGAATAATATAGGATATAATTAAAATTGCACTCTTTCAGATTGCGATTTTGATTTAAAAAATAGTATTAATCATTCAGCCATACTAAAATTTTATTCAGTTGATGCAGTTAATTCAATACAAATGTTATTTATACCAGACAAGCTTTCCAACCTAAATACATAAGAATCTATTAATCAAAATAGATAAGATTTATATTTTTGATCACAAAGTAGAAGAGCAAATATCAGCACAGCATAAATTTAAATATATTTTTTATTTACATGACTGGTACATCTATAGCATGTTTTTGATGAAACTGTCTATAAAACCTCCCATAAAATAAATGTTTGTTGTAACAGTGTGTTAGAAATAACCCTGCTGTATGGATGCTGTGCATTGCAAGCTCCCACTGTGAGTTGTTTACATGCTTCAAAATAGGGCTGTGTTAAAGCCACCAAGGAAATGAATAAAACAATACAGGTGCAAGTCCTGTGATGTAAACACAAATGTTATTTTTATGGTACAAAAACAGTCTTCAGGGTGAATCTCTCCCGATAGCTGTGAAAATTTGCAGATGCTATGGGATATTGAGAAGATGACTTGAAGCCCATGCAGCTTGAACCTGTTTAACTGCATTAAACATCCATATTAGGTTTTACCCCATGTTAGTTTGCTTTCCCTATTATTTAATAAGTTATTACATGTTTGTTTGTTTTTTTTTCTTATTTTATAATCCTTCATTTGTTGGTCAGTATCTTTGGTTTTGTTTTTTCCTTACAGCTTGTAATTTGCCTCTTTCTCACTCTCATGCATTTCAGTATACTGCTGCTGCTGCCTTGCTAATGTGTCCATACCTGGAATCGGTGCCTCTGTGCCGGAGTTCCGCCCCTTCTTTTACATCAACGTGGCTGACATTACAGCTCTGGAGACAGAGCTCTCCTATGTGGCTTGTGAGTGGCTCATGTTGATGTAGTACAATGAAGACTAAAACAAGAAGCTAATTTATGACAGAAGTGCTGAAGCTAAAAAGTGCTGTTGTTCCTCTTCAAAGTATGGTGCCACTATGTGGTACAAAAGCATTGGGGGTGACTCATCATTAAAGATGCTTACCTTATTTATTCATTTTTCAGTCACACTGCAGAACGAGTGTGGACTCCACAGGCTGCCTTCAACTAAAGTGTTTGATGTGTTTTTACACTATCGTGCAAAATCAACAATGTCCTTTATTCATTTAATTTTCAGTTGAAAGAGCCATTTAAGTGTAAGTTATTCATTTTTCTGGAGATTCTGAGATTAGATAGGTAATCTACTTGCATAAGGAAGGGAACTGTCCGTGGAAAAGGAGTGAAAAATATGAGTTTACAGTTATTAACAGATGTATCAAAAATGGGACTAACAACCATCTAAGATGTGATAGAGCACCAAAACTGTCACCATCAGATAAACAGTACTTAAAGTTTAGCAGTAAAAAAGCTATTACGGAAATAGACCAAAACGCTGCTGCTGTTGTTCTCAGAACAATGATCTGGTCCAGATCTCAACGTGTTTGGCATTGCTTGAATGAGGGGAAGCAGAAAGTGCAACCAACGTCTATGACTGAACTTTTCATATATGGAAAAATATCACTGCAGATTACTTTGAAAAACTGAAATCAAGGCCAATCCCATTTCTTCTTTTTACCCCTTCCCCTTGTTTTTTTCGAGTGTCACCCTAATGGTGGTTGAAATCTTGCCCTACGAAATGGGACAACCCTCAAATTACATTGCTTCATTATCAGGCTACTAGCGGTGCTCTGTAGGCGACCCAGCCCATCTTCAGTGATAGCAGAGAAGGGAAAAGTTCAGCAACCTTGCTGCTGGGCTGAAGTCAGCTATTCACCAGCTTCTTGTTTGAATTTTCCCGTTCCACCTTAAATAGTGCAGCAGTTACATTCTGGCACTTAAGCCATCAGTACTGCTGCACTATTTAAGGTGGTACGGGAAAGTTAGCTAGCTAGCTACCGAGATATTAGCATGCCATTCATGGTATTTTATGTATGTTATGAAGAGAACAACCATAATACATTGAAACGACATTAAACTAAGATAATACAATGGTTATCGTTGTTTTTTAACAGAGAAAATACTTACTTTTGTGGGTTTCTTTGGTCGCTCGCGCAGCCATCTTGCCGGTTTTTCTATTTTTCTCGTAACGCTCCTTTTGGAGTGTGTCTCTGAAAAAACTCCGTTTGGAGGGCCATGTAGCCCTAACACTTCATCCTACCCCTCTATCTCAACCAAAATTGGGACACCCTACCCCTAGATGTGAAAAGTGGCAGAGGCAAGGGGTGAAATGGGATTAGACCCAAGTCTCTTGAAAAGAATGAACACTGAGGCTGAGACACACTGAATCATATTGCATTAGTTGTTGAGGCTTTTGTGTAATTTTCTGTTAAATGTTTTATTGTTTGCTGCTGAAAACGAATAACATGTACATTTCCATTTTGACTGGAAATGACATAAATGGAGTGTGATAATAATAACAATCCATTTTCTCCTTCTTTATCAATGTATGTATGCCAAGGCACCACAGAGAAGATCTTCGAAGAGAAGAAAGAGCTGTATGATGTCTACATTGACAACCAGAATGTGAAGACCCACAGAGAGAGCCTGCAGCCTCTGCTCCGAATCAACAGTGCCGATCGGGAGAAGTATCGCAAGCTCAGTGAACAGAGGTACTGCACCCATATTCTGTAGACTAGTAAGCTTGTATCATGACACTAACAGTACTGCTAAATCTTGCTTCAGTTTTTAGTGCCAACACTACTGCAGTTTGCATAGTGTAGTACAACCAACCTGAGTTGAATTATGGCCCTTGTTTGCATAAACTCACATGCATTTACATATTCAACAGTTATCCAGGAAAACTTAGGTGTAAATACCTAGATAGATAAGGAAGAGCACCTTTGCAGTGTTGTCATAAAAAATGTACTACTGTTCTTTTAATGATAACCATCATTTTGTGGTTAATCATTCAACTGAGGAAACAGTTTCAAGCACATCAATTAGACATCTTGGTAATGATGGTCATGACCATGTCCCTACAGGCAACTGTTGCTGTATTCTCAGGAGGTTGACGGGGACTGCACCACTAATGAGGAAGACCTTTTTATTCTGTGAGTGCAGAGCGCAAAAGTCTCTTCATGTGAATTGTTAGACTTAAAGGAATAGTTCGGCAAAGAATTTAGTTGACATGCTTTTCTACTTAGCCCAAATGCAATTGATTAGCAAAGACGTGTCAAAATTTTGCTTCTTTAGTTTAGCGCTGGAACTACAAGGATAATGTTACACACGCTGGAAGTCAATAGTCTCCCACACAGTTTCCACAAATCCATTCCCAAAAAACCCCAAAACTGGCCCAAGTGTGTAAGGAGCTGCTCAAACTGCATCCAGGTCTTAACTCAGGTCATGCAGACAAGTCTATGTGGTTTACAACACAGTATGACTCACTATGAACTATAAAAATGAAAAATGTAGATGAAAGAAGGGGCAGCCATTTAGAAAATCCAGAATCACATTTTTCTGGAGCACTATTTGGTTTTATTCCACACAAGATGATCAAAGACAGGGATAAGGTAATGCACACCACAGATGGAGCGTACGGTAACGTAGGCAGAGAAGCTAAACAAATGTACTCATGTACTAAGAAAATGTTTGAACCTGAATATACATGAAGAAAAGCGGCAGTTGGATGTTGGACCCCCCAGTGACTCCCAAGTCCCACCTCTTAGCACAAAGCTGAAGTTAGCTTCTTTTCCATTCCACCTTTAAGGGTGCAGCAGGTACATACTGGCAGCTCCTGCCTTTTAGCTCTAGTGTCATTAGTAAGTTTTGCAACAGCATGATTATAGTAATTTTTCTTAATTTTATTAAAAATATCATGAAAATACCAGACCATAAACCCCTATGATAAAGGCCGATCATTGAAAGCTAATGGAGGTCAATTAGCATGTTGTCTTTTTTTCTGCTAACTCACACAGACTAGGTTTAATTTTAAGTTGATATATGGCTTTATGTCGGGGTGTAAATAATCTACCTCCCCCCTATGCCAGGTTTTTCATGGAACAGAATAACCGCATCTTCCAGACTTTGTTGGAGGTGGCAGGAAGCGCTGACCCCACTCTGACTGCCGAGCATGTGCGAGCCATGGGGTTGGATCCACAGGGTGACCGTGGTTTCCTGGTCGACCTCCTGGAGGTCTATGGTATCGATGTCATGCTGGTTATCGACAATCCCTGCTGCCCGTAAGGCCAGAGAGACTTCTGCTCTCTCTCTCTATTTTATCTGTATTGCTCTCTCTGGAGCCCCTAGCCTGTCTGGGCTGGAACACACTGCCTGACCCCCTCCTCTCTTTCTCTCTTTTTTTTTTTCTGGCCTGGGTGTTTAAGGAGCCAGTACTGACCTTTGGCCGCACTGCTGGACCGCCCTGATACTGCCAACGCCCCAGGGCACTGTCCTTCCTTCAGGCTTTGGTACACTCTGCTGCCTTCACCCCACCCCCCCAACTCCCTCACAGCATTTGTCCGCTTGTGTGTGTCTCTACGAGTGTGTGTGTGTGTGTGTGTGTGTGTGTGTGTGTGTGTGTATATGTGTGCCAGTTTGCTTAATAACCTTCCAGACACTCCTGGGTTTCTTTCCATGCTGCGCCTACTCTCACATCCTGAAAAAATGATGAAACTGTGCCTCTTTGTTACTGCTTGTAAAGTGTGGAGCTCAATTGTGACTTTGTTCTTCTAGCCAGCGCTGTTTTGGGGATCTGATGTAATGTCCCTTGCTGGGTTTCGAATGTGCTTCTCCTGGACCCCAGAGACTAAACACAAAGGAGTCCAGCAATGGAGCCACTTCCATCCCTGTGCTCATCTGGTTTCCTGTCTGGTGAAGGAATGTAAACAACATGGTAACATCTGCCCCACATCGTCATATGTACATGTATAAGTAACGGTTTTCAAAGCTGAACTGTATATTGAGCTGGACTGGATTCATTGTATTGGAGATTTCCATAATTCCCTGCATTATTTATTTGGCTTCACCATGACTGCATCACCGATAAACGCCTGCAAAACGTCAACCTCAAAATGATGAATGATGGTTTTGATTTTACAGAGTTTGACCATCTTTGCCTCTCTCGCTACACTGATGCTGTTTGGTTTTTATCACTCCTGCTACCTGGATCAGTTTTGAAGGAGGAAGGAACACATTTATGCAGTTGGAGTTCCATCAGCTGAGTTTTTTGTTGGGTCTTCAGGGTGGCTTTGAATGTGGACTTTCTTGCCTTGCTTTGCTTTAGTACTTTATTCTATAAATCAGTCACTAAAGACACAGACATCTCAACTGCTGTATGTTTACTTTTGCACACATTTGCAACAATCAATAAGGACCACTTTAAGCTGCATATTGTGTGAAAGCGCATCTTTAATCACTGCACTCTTTAGGGCAGGGCTGCCCTCAGATGTCGTCCTGTTAAGACTGTAAGATTTGATCAGTTTTGACAGTGGCGTGAGTAGGTGCCATCATATTAAGGGGAAATTCCACTGATTTTTTTCAAAATTTCTGCATGGTGCAGTCTGTGATATACACCAAGTCATTCACAGTGGTCTGATCTAGCATCATGTACTGTAGGGGTCACAATGTCTACACTGCAAATATAGACATTTTATTCATCCAAAATGACTAGTGAACCTATATGTGTCTTCTGAGGTTTTATATGTAATGTTGATAATGAAAAAATGGCGGTAAATATGAAAAAAAGCAGAACCTTTCTTTGGGGACTATTTTGCCTTATTATGCCCTGCATGTATCTCTCCACCATTAATGCATGTTAAAAATATGTTTTAGGCCAAAAGCTTATCTCAAAACTATCATAAAACAGTGTCTCAAGCATCAGGCAGCGTATCAGTAACCATTTTATGTAATAACTTCCTGTGAGGGAGTTTTTGACGCATTAAACTATTCAGACGCCTGGTTCCTGGTATCACCACCACTGTGAACTGTTCTCAGTATGTTTTACGTAAAACCACTCTGAATTACTTGTTTATATCTTAACCATTTCATTATACAGACGTTTTAAAACATCAGTGGAATAAGCAAATTCACTGGGGTCTTCCTCCTTATGTCTTGTTTTGGTCTTTGACTCAGCTCCTGGATTATCCTTTGGCTCACTTTGCTCGAGTCTTCATGACCAGGCCCTCATCGGGACCTTTACAAGACGACTATTATAATAATAAATTATAATGTGACCAAGTATATCATGTCTAAATAGTAATGATACAAAAGAAGGAGTTATATGTGTATTTGTGCTGTACAGGGCTTTACTCTTTTCACTGTTGGTATTGATTGTAAATTATTGTACATTTTTGCTGCACCACACCATGCACAGTTGGTGCATATTGACACAGATATGTATTATGAAGCTTTTGAGTCATTTTCATTTCACTCTTGGGGGAGGAAACATGAATGTGATTCTCTCAATGACTCACCAGTGAATGCTGTGTTATTTGTTTACTACTTTTATTGACTTTTGTTTTGTGTTTGTTTGGGCACCATGTTTAAAATGTGATGCTGTGTTTGACTAAGTATTTTTCAGCAGAGGTAGATTCCATCAGCAAACTGGCCAGGTCAGGTTCTCTAACAAAATGGGATACTGTCTGTGAGTGTATCAGTGTCTGTGAGCTGAGTGTTTATCCTCGGAGTACTTTGGTCACGGTAAGGGTTTGGGGGTGTCTATTGTGTTATTTGGACAGCACCAGTTCATAGATTAGATTTAGATTACTCTAGATTAATTGTAATCCATGACTACAGCATGGAAGTGGGGCTAGGTCATGTTTATCACTAGACATTTTGTGTCTGTGAGGGTATGAAGCCCTTAACTCACTAACAAAGAGTCCATTGTGTTGCTCGGGGGCTGCTTCAGGGGCTGCTGATCTTGGGGTAGTGACATGTTGGGGATTAGCCCCAGTTCGCACAAACAGTGCCCATCTGTTTCAGGGGGGCTGTCTTTTGAGCTACACTGCTTCTGCTGGCTCTGTGTTGAGTGGAACTGTGTAGGCTCTTAAATAAAAATGATAAAAAAATGTTTGGCTCCTCAAAATCTAGCCACAATACATACATTCCAGTCTACGTTTGGGAGCCCGTGCTCAAATTATGTTTTGCTGAAGTAAATAAGTTAAACACATCCTCTAAAGAGAACACACTCCTGCACGTTTTAATGCATGATCATGGTTTATGTGCTGAACGTAACATAATAAATAAATATATTAAATAAAATGTAATTTTATTTTTTGACCTGTGCAAAAGTGATGGCATATTTTATATTTTTTTGTTTTATTTTTGTACAACATGTTTAACCCAGCTTCTGAACAAAAACAGTGAGTGTGCAGTGAATTTGCAGAAAACTGTCATATAGAGGATGTGTTAACTCGTTTTCACAAACAATTAACCAAATTAACAAAACGTGTCATTTGACTGCGGGTGTTCAAACTTTTGCATATGACTGTAAATACATCGGAAGTGCAACAAAACACGTTTGAGGTCAAGATTTGTTTTGATTTTCTGTAAATATCTGTATTACACAGATTGATTTGGCTGTGCCAACTGTTTATCATAATAAGTCCCAAAAAAATCAAAACCCCTAGAACCTGTAAGCAACTTGAGAAAACAAGCCCATTCATTTGAGCATGTGTGTGTATACAGTGTAAGCTCCTCCTCTCTCCAGCCCTCCTACTTTACTCCAATAGGAGTACCCAGAGGGCTAGTCTTGATCATTGACAGTAATTTCCAGAAAACGTGGTAAATAAGAACTCAGCCGAAGTAGCTGAGGGGTGGCAGTACTATTTTAAATTCCGATACACTGTTTTGAATGTTCATTTTTTGGGGATTTTTCAGTACTATACTGGAATCTTTACACCCGTAATATAATACTTTGTGTGCACCAACCTCCCAGTTACAAGGTAGACTGCAAATAGTTTAATCTCCATTTTTATTAATGAGTGCAGGCACTCATTACTCAACTGGGGATGGGATGGAAAGAAGTGGGTTCAGTCTCTGTGTTACTTTTATTAAACATGATAATCTATTTAAAATTTAAATTAACAATATATAAATAACTGTTAAAATTGTCAATAGAAGTTATGTGGCTGAAATGCAAAATGTGATCACTCATGTTCTTTTCCTTCTCAGAGCCCCAAATAATCTTTTTGGTGTGGTTCTGTTCTACAGCTGAAAGGAGAATGTACAGTAATGAGCCATGTAACATAAACTCATTTTATGTTTTGACTCACACATTGGACGAATGTCGAGTTCCACTCTGCTGATATCAACACTAGTTAACGCGTCTGTGTCGCACCACATACTGTAACAGCATGTGTCTCTTGATTTAAAGCCAGTGATTCTTATTTACTGCCATTTGGACATAATAAACTTCTCTCTGTACTGGTTGTGCCATTTTATGTATTATTTTTAGTCTCTTACAAAAACATGGGGTGTAAGGACAGTCTGAAGCTGTGTGGTTAAGCTTTTTAAATGTAAAAGTAGCAGTAAAGGTTCAGACACTGGTATATTTAATAGGAGAAAAGATGACAATGAAACAGGAAGTCATGAAAATCTTTTTTTCTTGGTCCTTTCATGTGTGAACCACACTGAGTTTTTGGGGAATTTTTAAGCAATTTCAGTGTGCAAACTCAAATTTGATGATGCATAAATTTCACACACCTGGGCTGCATCCAGATAGGTGAATGACTCTTCCTTTCTATCTGCATTGCTTGATTTTGCCTGATCTGTTGTCCACTAAATATATTGGCCAAGCTGACGAGCATGTGGTTCCGCTAGCAACAGGCAAAATCAAGGGAAGCAGACAGGAAAGAAAGGTCACTTTGACTTGTTGGATGCAGCCCTGCTGTGCAAAAAGCTTTTAACGGCTCTCGAATGCATTAGTTATTTTTTTTTGCCCACAGAAGAAACAACTTAACCATCCAGTTAGGTCTTTGATAACTCCAATGAAAAGTTCATAAAGTTCATTCAATCTGATGCTGTGTACTTGGCATCATGACAGTGAAAGTACACAATATATGGTTAAAAGTCCAAAAATCCAGAGACCACTTCAGTTAACCTGTGCCAGTTCTTCTTGGCGCTCTGCACTGCAAAAAAACCTCAGTTTCCGGGGCAACAGCCTCACTTCCACTGGTATGGCCTCAAAGGCTTCGTTGTCAATGTCATAAAAGCCAGCGCCCTCCTGTGGAAACCAGCAACACAGCGATGAATGAGAAAGGCTTGGCGGAGCCAACATAGCAACTAAATGAAACTGTAGACTAATAACCTATGCCAAGTGACAGACACAAGGATCTAATTGAGAGTCTGCTAAGTTCTCTCACTCTACAGCAGCTTCCCTGCAAAATGAAATTTATGGCTGAGAGAACTCTCTCCTCCATTATGGAACGACCTACCTGATTATATTTAGAGGCATCTTACAATGCTTTAAAAGTTACTGAAAACTTACAGGCTGTATCCATCTGTTTCTCAGCATACTTTGCCCCCTTTACCCCATTCTTCAATGGTCAGGGCCCCCGCAGAGCCACTCTATTAGACACACCTAACTTGTTGGCCCACCAAGATGTGAAGTCAGAGACGATACTGCATCTGTTGCTGCAGTTTGTGTTGGTCATCCTCTATTCCTTCATCAGTGCTCACAGGACACTGTTTTCTGGATATGTCTAGTTGGTGGACTATTCTCAGTCTAGCAGTGACACCAAAGTGTTTAAAAACTCCAGCAGCACCGCTGTGTCTGATCCACTCACACCAGCACAAAATGCAACCACCGTGTCAGTGTCACTGCAGTGCTGAGAATGATCTACCACCCAAATAATACCTGCTCTATGGTGGTCCTGTGGGGGGTCCTGACCATTGAAAAAGGGTGAAAGGGGGCTAAAAAAGTATGCAGAGAAAGAGATGGACTACAGTCTGTAACTGTAGAACTACAAAGTGCACCTATATGATAATTGGAGCTCGTAAAATGGACAATGAGTGCAGATGCAAGGAGGTGTACTTAATGAAGTGACCAGTCAGTGTATATATTCTTAATAATAATAATAATAATAATAATAATATTAACAAATTTGAAAGAACAGAAGAAAAACTTGACCTGAGGCAAGGTGACACGACATGCACTGGCCTCTAACTGAAGTGCATTTTCTGTGCATTCCAGTGGTTTTTCGGCTTTCTTTGTTCTGCATACGAACACCAATAAACAAATTAACAGATTGTGAAAAATATCCAAAAATGAACCAACATAACACTTTCACTCAACAATATACAACATCAACGAAATGGATAAAACAGATTTCACAGGCCATTGTCAAAACAGTAATTGGGAGTAATTACCCTTCTGTAATGAACTGTCCAACAGTAAGTGTGTCTGGTTCCACAGATAGCACCATGAAATCATCTGTACGCTGTGGAGGAAGAAAATGCTGAAGAAAACATCTGCAGATACTGTGCAGGCAAAGCATTTCTAAATATATGATGGGTATGGAGTAGTGGTTCCTGAGTGTGGTCCTGGAGCACCCCTGCCCACCAGATTTTATTGACTTCTCTGCTGTAATACACACTTTAACTCAGACCCTGTTAATTTTCTGATTGGACCAGGTGTATTGAGAACAAGAAAACACTGAAACATACAGGGCATGAAACTGGGAGCCACTGGTATTGAGTTTGCTCATTCTTTTATTAGGGTTCTGCTGTGTTTACATGACACTGAATAAGACATTGTTCGCAGCCATGGAAACGTTGCGTCACCAGTAAAAAGAATGATTACCAGTGGAGAGCTTTAACGGTGCTGATTGCTCATTTAAGGTGCAAAATCCAGAGGCTGCTCTGCAACCTTTAAGAATTTGGCTGTATAATACTTTTTTCATCTTCTGGACAACTTGGTACATGGCAAAAGTTGGGAAAACTGAACTCTTAACAGAACATTCAGCTGTGCACTGCCAATGGCAGAATTTTCCACTGAAAACTGCTGTTAACAATCTACCATCTACATGTAAACACAGCATTATTTTTTAAAGTCACTCACCTTTTTCACAGGGTTTCTGTTCTGTGTGCTTATTGTGAGCTCTAAGGTGGAGATCTGCCTGTCCTCCCATTGCTCTGGTTCTGGTTCTATAGGGGGCTCTAAACCCATCACAAAAACACAACAAGTGCATTGATACACCTGAAACATGCAAATATTTAAGCCTTTTTGGAAAATTTTGCAAACACACAGCAACTCTACCTTCTACAGGAGGGTTCCAGTAGTTTTGAAGCCTGCGATAGATGCGATACAGAAGGTTGGGTCTTGTGGGCTTTTCAGCTGGCAGGTCTGGAGGTCGAGGAACAGGAGGAAGACAGGAGAGAGAAGCATGGCGAGTCTGCGGCCAGTCCTGAGATACAGGAGACAATATGGTTCATTTAACACACCAAACAAAATGTAGGGCAATGTTGAAGGAATAGCTCAACATTCTAACATGGGTGACAACAAATGGAAGGTAGTAGCCAACAATTTGCATAATGCTAAAACCTGGCTGTTTTTTTTTCATTAATAGAATTAGCTTACTTGGCTGAACTATTTTGTTAAAAATTAAAAACAATTATACACAAAGTAATACCCACCTTTAATGTACTGAACCAATGTGCTGCTCTTGTTTTCAAAGGGCCAAGGTACCAATATCTTGACAAATTAGAGAAGATATTAAACCAACGTATTAACATATATTTATCAATACATAATATTTGTATGTTATAACACATACAGTAAAAGTTAGATTACATACTTGCTGATGGATCCTGCAACATCTCTGAAGCAACCCCAACGTAAACTTAATAGAGCAAAGACTGGTTGCTCCTTCTCACTCTGAGGACAGAATAACACAAACATTAACAGCTAGGAGCTATATTGTGCTCACAAATTAACTTCTGGTAAGACTACATATGTTGACTTGCACACCTTTATTTGCAGGACATCCAGTGGCACTGTCTCTCCTTTAAGTATGGACAGTGTTGCTGAAGTAATGCGCCTAAAACCCAGAATGATATTAGCACCATTAGTATTAAATGATATGACTTGTGCACATAATGGAACAGTGAGTGAAATGAAAATAAAAACAGGAAGCAGTGAGTTGTAAATCCACTTTGACCTGTATTTAAACAAAGGCAGTACAAAGACAAGATATGTAACATTTTACCTGTAACGCTTAATCAACTTCAAAAAATGCATCAGCAAATAATCCAAATGTTTAAGAACAACACTCCTCAATGAGCGTTTGCAAAGATTTTAGATATTTCACGCTCTACAATGCATGATATCATCAAAAGATTTAGGGAATCTGGAAAATCTCTGCGTAAAAAGCAAGGCCAAAACCCACAAATGAATGCCTGTGACCACTGATCTCTCGGATGGCAATGCATTAAAAAAGGCATGTTTCTGTGATGGATATCACCGCATGGAATTGGAATACTTGGACAAACTGTTGTCAAAAAAAACATTGTCCTATGCACAGCAGAAGAAATATATAAACAATGTCCAGAAACACTGCCACCTTCTCTGGGCCCAAGCTCATCTGAAATAGACTGATGCACATTGGAAACGTATATTGTGGTCTGACAAGTCAGCCTCAAGGAAATAATGGATGTCGCATTCTCACTGAAGTTCAAAATCCAGGGTCTGTCATGGTATGGGGGGTATTAGTGGGTAACTAGCACATGTTGGACAGCGATATGCCGGCTTTTAGAATACATGACAATGCTAAGAAACATTATGCACTTTTTACGACAGCATGGCCGCGTAATCAGAGAGTGCGGGTGCCAGACGGGCCTGCCTATCTCCTATTGAAAACGTGTGGCACATTATGAAGTGCAAAATAAATAAACAAAGGCCTCATATGATTGCACAGCAATCGCCTTTCAGAACTGGATCATTTGGTGCCTTTAGCAATAAAATGTTTATTAAGGTGGCAAACATGCTTTTGGAATAAGCGTATATTTACAAAAAAAAGCAATAAACTTTATATTGTGTTTGTGTAGTGTTTCTAATTTTATATAGATCAAAACGAATGTACTAATCACTGCTTAAATGTTTTTACTAGCATCACATACTGCCCCAAAAACAAAGTACCAGTTTCACAGGAACACAACCAAAAATCATGTTTCATTATCCAAATCAGTATACGCAGCTTATGGAGTATTATCTGATATATAATAAATGAATACAGTCACAGTAAAGAATTTAATAGGATTACTTACCTGACTTTGTTGTCAGTAATTAGATGTAGACTTTCGCTTATGGAGTTATGCAAGCCAAGAGGAATGAATCCTATGGGAGTTTTACTGAAAGCTTCCTAGGATTAAAACAAAGAAGCACATCTCTCTTAAAGAGAAGTGTATATCAGTGCACACCTGCAATACACACAAGTGAGTATAGCACCAATGCATACCTCATCAGTTCTTCGCAGTAAGCCAGTTATCACCTGAACAAAATATAAGCCATGAAACATTTTACCAGTCACAACAGTATATCAGCCAAATATTTCCAGTGAAATTATACAATCATGCTGTACCTCCTGTAGTGTCCCATCTCCCCCGGCAACAATCAGTATGTCAGCCTGCTCCATCAGATCCATTAATTTTTTCGCCTGTCCCTCATAGTCTGTCTATAGAAGAGCAATAATGAGCTAACATCTAAACAATCACTTATACAAAGGACATTACAATAATCGGCTACATCCAATACCTTTACAATTTTAACCTCCACGCCAGCAAGGTGTAAAATAGGAGCTGCATTCTTCTCAAACAGAGTGTTGGCTTTTCTATAAGAAGATATACACAAAAATTTAAAACACTGAACCAGCATTTTATATGTGCTTAGTGATTTTATGTAATATTCTGTAGTGCAGCACTGCATCCTTCAGTCTCATTGGTTTGACAGAATTCACAACTGTGTATTTTCGTCCATTAATATTCTCTCGTTATAATACCCAACATGCATCACACAAATACGTCATAGGAACGTTGGGAATTCCTCCATGGCAATAAAGAAATCCTGAAGGCTAGTAATTACAGACTTGATATCTGGCTTCTTAGCAGTAACATTTGCTATCTGGTTTCCTTCACTATTAACCAGATTCCAAAATTCTTTAAATAACTAATAATAAAAATTAAAATAATAATAATAATAATAATAAACAACTCAACCAGCCTGTCCTCTGGGATCAACCTCAAAACACACCTTCAAGATACACCTTCAAAAGGGGGTTTTCATAGTCTTTAAACTGGAATATCTTGCTCTCAATACTACTGTTGCATCCGTAGTTGAGGCAAGTACCCATGCCAACAACAGATGTACTAATGGTTACATTTTTTCTTCTGGCCGAAATACGACATTAAAGTTAGCAGTGAGCATAAAGTAGTTTAACTATGAAAATGAAAACGGATCCTTGTTCATGAGTGTGTCAATAACAGATGGCAGCAAACTCTCACCCATTGCTTGCTGCAGGATTTAGGATTACTGTTGCTTTCTTCAGCGGCTCCTGGGGTCCAATTAATTTCCGGCCAAATTCCTGTACAAATAAACCAGATAATGGACCATGCAATAATCTTTAGATCACCAACATCAACCACACACATGTTGCACAGCCTAGAAAAAACACACGATACACGCAGCCTCAAGAAATTACAAGCAAAAACATTTCTTACCCTGGCCTCCTGGCAGGCCTCTCTTCGCAGCACATTCTCACTGTGGAAACAAACATAAGTATATTTTCTATTTGCACAGAAAATTTCAATTGAACAGCTACAACCTGACGTCATGCAACAATGCATCCACACAGACCCCCTACACAAACACTGAAATAAGCAAAGCAGGCCATACAAAGGACATTTATGGCCAAGTTCTACCTCAAACTCAGAGCACCACATCATGATCTTTTCCCAGTGAGCTACCGTTCACACTCAGTGGAATATTTTGCCAATGCTGCATTAGATACTAAATACCAATGTGATACTTTTAACGCTATAATTAAATGGAGATGCAGCTATATTGAGACTATCCTCTAAGTAAGGTTAACTAACCAGTGCTTTCCGTAAAACCAGTGTCCACCGTAAGACAGGACACATGCAGCAAAAGTGGACTTCTTCCAGTGATTCCGCAGAGTCCGAAACACCTTTATCACTCGCCCCATTGTCCAGATACACACCACTACCTATCTACCAAAACAAACATAGAAATTAAGCATCTAACACAACTCCTGAGTCTGCGAGGCTGATTCTCTCAGTCAGGCGTTGACATTCCGCCCTGAGCATGATGACCGGTGTAACAGCGAATTATGTCCCCTCCGAAAGGGAGAGCTCGAAATCAATTCCAGTTCTTCCTCCTTCTCTTCTTCTTCTTCTACTTCCTCTTCTTTTTATGTAGTTCTTAAATCACAAATTCTATAATACAAAAATAAACAGGAACACGAGGAGCGAAAAAAGAGAAATCTAGAAATATATTAATTAACATCATTTACAAACTTTCAAAGAAAATGTCCACTTTTTATTCTTCTTCGTTGCCTTTTTTTTTAAAAAATAGACAAAAATAGTTGACTTAGAAATAAATCCTATTACCAATACCCAACATTTAGACATTTTTGATGATTTTGCAGGATATATGTACTAAACAATTATTGCGACTTCTCTAGTTAACGCTAAGGGAACGAAATATGGGACGGACCCGTTCGGGCATGCGCTGTACTGTAAACAGACATGAGTCTTATTTGGACTTAGGCGAAATTGTCTGACAGACATCTTCAGAAATAGGCTTGTGTTCCTCGCTCACCTGCAGGCACTACGGTAATTATTCAAATAATCTTTATTATTGCTGTAGAGGTGTTGTTTGGGGAGAAAAGCGACCATTAGCCGGAGTTTATCTCTCCTTCTGTGTGTCAATAGAGTTTTAACTGACTACAGATAACAAACTACAGTTAACTCAGCAAGATAACGTCACATTATTTCATTACACTGGGGCAGTGTTTAGCCAGCTAACAGTTTTGCCCTAACGCAGCTCTTTGGTGCTGTTAACATGCTTTCTGTTTTCTGTGTGCTAAAGTCCCAGTTAGAAATGGAGGTTGAAAGCTTCGTTTCCAGGACCCTCGAACTCTTAAAAGAGGAGAGGGAGGCTGAAATCGAAGAAACAAGGTAATTCGCTCTTCGTGGGCCTTTCCTGTCTGCTCAGAGAGTTCTTGTGATATAAATGATATGGAACAATCTGTTAGTCAGTACAAACCCTGACACTTTTAAGTAGTGCGACTGAAATATTTTATTTGTAGAGCCTGGCAGCAGAATCTGTCACTGAAAAATCTACAACAGAAAGGAGTATGTCTGCTGAAACTTCAGATTGGAAGTCAGAGGACTGGCATGCATGGTAGACTTCTTGTTGCTTTCGAGCCCAGGAAAAGTATAGGCCCGTCAGTTCTTCCCAGCAACAGTTTTGGACCTGGTGAGACTGGATCTTATCATTTTAATCCACTTTAATCCACAAGACAATTCTCAACATTTTTAAATATGTGCATAATTCTTTCACTGAAATGTAGACAAAGTCATTCAGAGTGGTTTGATGCGAAATGGTGCATTGTAGAGAAGACCACATTTACAATGGTGATAATGGGAACCAGAAGTTATGATATCTACAGTGCAAATATAAACATTTTATTTACAGTACAAAACAAACAATGAACCTACAGACATCTTGTAAGTTTTTCTGTGTAATCTTGACAATAGTTAAATAGTGGTAAATATACTAAATATTACATTTTCTTTGTGTACTGTTTTGTCTTACAATGCCCTACATGCATCTCTCTACCATGAATTGATTTTTAAAAAATGCTATTTAGACCAAAATCTTTGAAACTACAACCGAAATATCTTCAGAACTATCATAAAAATGTCTCAGGCATCAGGTAATAGTTTTCTGGGTGTAGCTTTTAGAGACACCAAATACATAGGACATCTGGTTCCTCTCCACTGCTGTGAACAGTTATGATTTGTTTTCTCTAGGATAAGGCATCTCTTATCAGACTGGTCTGAATGACTTTGTTTTCATCTTAATAATTGAATTATGCAAAAATAATAAAACTAAATTAATGGAATTTTCCTTTAACTTAAATGTGAACTTAACTCATAATGATGACTCTTTTGTTTGTTTTTTTAGGTGACATTGTGGGTCTTTTCCAATCAGAAGGATGTGGTCAGCCAAATCAGATCTGCTCAGGTGTGGTGACTCATGTGACACAGGCATCAATAACAGTTGCTTTTGATGACACTCAGGATAGTGTCAGCTTGGAAAGTGATGGACTGTACAATATCATGAAGCTTGCAAACGATGTGACCTACAAACGATTAACTCAGTAAGTGAGGTCTCATCCCACTGGGCAGACTAGTCAGCACTAAATTGACAATGCGTGTTTGGTTAGAGCTAGATGCATTGAGAATTTTTAAAGATAAAATCAATTACATGTTTTATTTAACAGTTGTAATAAAATTATCTTGTAAGGTCCAGTCACTGAGAATGAATTATATAGCTCAACAGTGTTCTGCTAACTTGCTCAAACAATTTATTTGTCATGTTTGCAGTGCTTTGAACTGTTTAAATGGATACAGAAGCGGCCCTGCTGCCCATCTTATAAGTGTACTTTTTGGTTACACTGATCCTGGAGCACTGTCACATCCAAGTAAGTGTGTGTTCGGGCACATTGTTATAAGCATATTAGAACCAGTAAAGATTTTAAGGTGTTAAACATGACTCATACAATGAGAAAACAGAATTACTATTCTTACCACTTTTTTTACCTTTCATTTGCAGGTGCCTTAGAGTGGTTTAATAGTGGATTAGACGATTCTCAGAAGGAAGCAGTGTCCTTTGCGCTGTATCAGAAAGATGTTGCCATCATACATGGACCGCCAGGAACTGGAAAAACCACAACAGTGGTTGAAGTTATCCTCCAGGCAGTTAAACAAGGACAGAAGGTACTACTGAGTGCAAGAATTTAGTCCTAGTTTCCTGCATGTACTCATCGCATCATTATTGTGACCAGATTATTAAAGCATGCTACAATGCCTGGTCCCTGATGTTGCCATAGCCATCCATGGCCAGGATTCGAAGAGAGAATATTAGTCTTGACTCTCTCTGGGTGGATAGAATGACCCTCCCTCTCTCCGTCACTCAGTGTGATGCTAGCTAATGCGGGTGTCTGTTAGCTGCCTTAACACATTTGTTTGTTAACATTGTGCTCCAAGCACTTTTAGCTGTACAGTGACATTAGCTGCAGCTTGAAAAGATGTGCTGGCACTTCACATGACCTGGAAGAAGCATGTCCTAGTCTTCTTCCACCCAGCTTGGTAGCATCATATGATGGGGCAGACCTAGCTAGCAAGTGGAACTGGACTAAACTGGGGAGAAAATTGGGTAAAAGTTACAAAAATAAATGCTTCAGTGACTCAATTTGAAGGAAAAACTGGGACCAGCTGGTCTGTCCTTTATGTAATGCTAACTGGATAAATGCCATTTATTATTAGCAATGTTAGCATTATTGTTTGAAATATTAAATTAAAGAAATTCTTATATCAATGGATACATTAACAATAATAAACTGATAAACTGATGAAAACCCCTTCAGGTTCTGTGCTGTGCCCCCTCCAATGTGGCAGTGGATAATTTGGTGGAGCGCCTGGCTAAGAGCAAGGCTAAGGTCCTAAGATTGGGACATCCAGCCCGTCTGCTGGAGTCAGTCCAGAAACATTCACTGGATGCAGTGGTTACGCAGAGTGACAACAGCAACATCATCGCAGATGTCCGTAAAGACATGGATAAAGCCTTTGTAAGATTTTATTCTTTGATTAGACTCTTGATGTGGTGTTTCTCATGTTTATTTTTTCCTATTATGCAAACAGCATAATTATCATTATAGATTATATATAACATTAAATTGTAATACCTTCACAAAAATAAATAAAAACATTATAAATGACTTTGCAATCTGTTGGTCTGGTCTCAGAGTCAGATCAAGAAGGTGCATGACAAAGGGCAGCGAAGCAGTCTGAGGCGAGAAATCGGGGAGCTGCGAAAGGAACTGAAGTCCAGGGAACAGATGGCCATCACACAAATCCTGAAAAAGGCCAGTGTCATTCTGGCAACCAACACTGGTGAGCAGTCCTCCATTACTTTTTTAAATCAATCACTCAAAACCATTCATATCAATTAAAGCCAGTCATACACAGTGTTGTTTCTAATATTCCCGTTAGACTCTCAAGTAATATTGGAAGTAATTGTCTTATGCAGGAGCAAGTGATGATGGTCCACTGAAGTATTTACCCAGCGAGCATTTTGACCTGGTGGTGATAGACGAATGTGCTCAGGCACTGGAGAGCAGCTGTTGGATTGCACTGCTTAAAGCACGCAAGTGCATCTTGGCAGGGGACTATAAACAGCTGCCACCCACGATCAAATCCCAGAAGTAAACTGAGAAATAAACCCATAATATTTATTTTTTTGTTATTTATAGTATGTATCTCTTAACATGTTAATACAGTAATACATTTAGGGGTTTTTGTAATTGTTTTTGAGATTTTAATATTTCTCATAAGGGAAGAAAAAGATCTAAATAAAACACAAATGCATTCAAATATCTTTTGTCACTTTTTCATAGTGCTGCAGCTAAAGGCCTCTCTGTGAGTTTAATGGAGCGGGTGATTCAGAAGTATGGAGACACAGTGGTTCGAATGCTGACCACTCAGTACCGTATGAACAGTGCCATCATGCAGTGGGCTTCAGAGCAAATGTACCAAGGGAAGCTCACTGCACATCCTTCAGTGGAGAAGCATTTGCTGAGGTATGCAGTTATGTTATTAGGTCAAATATGTAGCTATGGTGGCACCGGAGTGGCACAGTGTTATTGTTTTAGACCAGATTTTAAATCTTTGTTACCCTTTTCAATTATTTTTTGAAATCTTTTTTGAATCAGAGACTTGGCTGGTGTAGCGGATCTTGAGGAGACCAGCATGCCTCTGCTTCTCATTGACACAGCTGGCTGTGGTCTGAATGAAATGGAGGACACAGATGAGCAGTCTAAAGGCAATCAAGGTCAGTCAGGTTTTTGTATTGTTCTCTATTTTCAGTACCTAATCTTGCAAGGCTAGACATGATCTAATAACGAGAATGTCTTAGGAAAAAACATAAATTTTGGGCTAAATGTAGGTGGGAACAAACTGTGGTTTAGAAATTTTACAGTTTAATGCCGCGTAAAGGCAGAGCTCATGTAGGGGCAAAGCCAGTTAAAAGGTAAGTCTGGCCACT